ACTCTTGATCTTTGAGGATCAACCCCCCCCCCCCCGTTTTTTTTTTTTCCCCCCCCCCCCCCCCCCCCCCCCCCCAGTGTTGTTGTCAACATGGAGACCGGCAGTCCGCGTAAGATCCAGTTCACGGTGCCTTTGCTGGACACCCACCTGGATCCAGAAGCAGCTGAGCAGGTGAGCGGAGAGCAGCGAGGAAGTTGGAGGGGGGGGGGGTACTGCATGGCTCAGGAGTAGAATAGAGTATGAGGTACTTTAGCTAATGAAGGGAAAGAATGCTCAGCCGCCTCGTGCATCTCTGCACTGTGCGCTCATTGTTCCAGGGGCACCGCGGCTGCAGTGCTGCCCTTTACGCGGCGGTACGCGACACGCAGGTTGTTACCGCGGCTGATGCACCTGCGTTTGTGGACTCATACCTCTAGAGGATAAAAATGACACACAGCAGACGCAAGCAAATGTCCCAGTCACACGAGCCGAAGCTCCGCTTCTCAGCTCCCGCCCGCTGTGAATCGGAGGCGTCATCGCTGGTGGGAGACCGCGTGCGGAGGGCCGGGCAGACGTAAGGGCTGCGCACATGCTCACGCGGACACAATGCCGGGGAGACAGCCCCCAGGGGATGGGGCACGGGGGGGAGGGGGTGGCGGTCCGTGACATGGGGGCCAGATGCTGTGACAGGCAGAATACGAGGGGCATGTCTGCGGGGAGGGCGGGGGGGTCAGCGTGTGGTGTGAATCTTTTAAAGTCTTACATGGGCAAAAAAATATGGACAGGCAAACTGGGACTGATAAATATAGATGTTGCAGGGTTCAGCACTCTGTGTGCATATGGCCTGGTAAAGTTATTTTAGGCATGCGTTGCATCAATTTTAATCACATAAAATACATCTGCGGTAATTTAAAAATGAGATCTTACAGAGAGGACGTGTGTTTGAAATACGGTTTTAGAGTATTTGTTGCTGATTTTTCAGGAAAAAGGGAGGTATTCTAAGCTGTTAGCCACTGGGTCACCTTTGTTTCTCACTGTGGAATGATTTAGGGAATATTCTGCTGGATTTTGGTTTTTTTTTCCCCAGAGAGAGTTTATGAGGAATTTAAAGACCATGAAATTAACACTGGAGATTAATTAGTGAATTATTTTCAGTTGCACTAAACAAATGTTTTTTCCTGCTTCTGCTCCCCCTCCTCCATTAAACGACTGGGGGCGTCATGTCTTTGTCAAGCAGTTTGCATAATTTGACTACCGTGAGTGTCAAAAAAATGTAATTCCATGAGAGAGAAGGATGAGGAGAGACAGGGAGACAGAAAGGGTGAGGCTGAAAACAGACTATTCTCAAGATGACAGTAAGTAATGGGAAAGCCAAATGTCTTAGCCGGAAAGATCACCTTCTCGGGGATGGACACGGCAACCTGTTACGTGAGATCCCCCGGCGGAAAAAGGGGTGTTTTTCTGCTCGAGCCTTCGCAACGGCTGGCTATTCTTACTTCAGTCGCCCCACATCCCTCACCTTAGCTACAGCCATCAAGAGGACGAGTCTTTGGTGCTGGTGAGCAAAGTAGGACGTGGAGCAGGTCAGTTGCCTGGGGCAGTCACTGCACCGGTTAGCTGTCACATTTAGACTGAGGACCAACTTTACAGAGGCACATGTGGTGGAAGAGGTTTGATGTTGGACGGGAGGCGCAGCCATGTAGGCAGTAAATGAAGGAGCATGTTTGAACCGGTAGGAAGAGGTAGCAGTTTGGCGAGGTACGTTCTTCCTACAGTACGTGTGGTTGGGTGCCTGTGCGTGACTTTCTGAGTGAGGAATCAGAGCCTGGATTGGTCTTTGATGGAAAAATAAAACCCTCACTGAGCCCTCTGACACCTCTCAGGTATGCAGAGCAGACTGCTAATCATCAAATAATAATGGTACCGGGAGGAAACAGCAGGGGGAGAGACGGTTAAGGGACTGCAGGAACGGATCTGCTGGAGAACTATAGAAATCCGACTTGGTCCCTGAACCAGCAAACATTTATCTTGTTCAGGGTTGTGGCAGGTGGGGGGGGGGTGACTCAGGTCTACCCCAATCAGCGCAGGATAAAAAGGGACAGGAAGACAGTCCCTTGCAGGGCACATACACACATTCACGGTGATTTAGAGGCACCAGTTATGCTAACTGCCTGTCGTTAGACTGCAACCGGAAACCCATATGATGAGGAGGACATGCAAACTCACAGGCACAGAGCGGAAGGAGAATTCAAACTCCATTCTCAAAGGCAACAGTGCTACCCACTGAGCCACTGTGCCAACCTTGAATCACTCCAGCTAACCAAATTATATTACTATTTATCTCCAGTATCCATTTTTATACTGTAACAGTAAGTACATAACCGTCACCTCATCAGCTGAGTATAATATGCACTGCGCAGAGGGCCGCTGACACCTGAAAGGGAGGAAGGGTATATCAGTACTCCCACCCCGCCCCCACACGGAGTATCGCTATGGAGACGTCCGCTTCCCAACCGCACACGGCTCCCGGGTAATGAAAAGGATCTGCGATGCTCTCTGTCACAGCCTCCTGAGTGTGCCCCGTCTTCCTCTGAAATGCCACTGATGTCCCCATCAGAAAACGTGGTGGGGTGGGCGGTGACGGGGGGAGATAACAGTCAGCGTCCCCCCACTCTTCTGACGCACCCCCTTTGTTACCCGCCGGATGTTTCTCACCAGAAATACCACGCAAAGAAGCGCTTAGCACAGAAATAAATAAACATACTCTCCTGTTTAGTGACTTAAAAATATATTTTTTGCATGCATATTTTATATGTTTCCATGGAAAATTGTTCCGATGCCTGAAGGCCTAGGAACGGGCACACTAGAGGGGAAAAAAAAATAATTTCTGTGCACAAAGCAGCGTAAAATAACACATTAAATGGCATCAGTTCACATAGCGAGATGAAATATGTGTATAAAGACCTGCCCTTGTATGAATATTCATGAGCATATAACAGATGAACAGCAGTCTGGACAGAGTTCAGCACCAGCCAGTGACAATCACTGGTTTGGCCGGTGGTGGTGGTGGCCTCCCACTCTGGGGGGGCTCAGCTTCCAGCAGATCATCCCATCTCCACGCCGCAGGGCTTTGAAAATGGAAAGCTGTCTGTAACTGTACCTCCATTAGGCTGACACATGCTGTGTGGTGGAAAGCAGAGAGAATGACGACATGCACCTCTCAGATTGAACATACATTATAAGGCTCAGGTTTTCTTTGTCACCTGCATGCGGGGAGTCAAATGCTTTATACATACATTCCCATACGGTAGTTGAACCTGGGTTACCATGGTGAGAAACCATGAATCCTAACCATTAAAGCATAAAGCGTAAAATTTTTGATCGTTTTTTTTTTTGGATTCGTATAAACCATTGAAGTCATACCCAAATACTACTGAAGTTCAATGGCTTTTTATCCCCGCGTTCTTTTTGACAAGAATCTTTCAGGTCAGAAACTTCAACCAGAAAAAGAAATCACCGTGCACACATGAGAATAGTGCTTAAAATAGTCGCTGAAAAAGTACTGCAACGTTCATGCAATCGGTAAAGTGGGCGTCCGGCTTACTCATGATGCTGGAGGTGCCATGGATTTTGGAGGCGAAACAGAGAACCACCATAAATGGAGAAGGTTGAAGCAACAAAGTTTCATTTAAAAAAAATGATTTCATGCACAAAAGAACAGCTGTCAGGGTCAGCCCCTGCTGTGGTCCTGCCGTGTCCCTTCCCCGTTTGGCCAGCAGGTGTTGCTGGTCATCCTGTTCTTTATGTTAGTCTTTGTTCTCCTCTGTTACCTGTCTGGTCATGTGGCTCAATGTGTTGAGCATGTGGTTGTCTGTATACCCCTCTGTCTTGTGTTCAAATCCTGCCTCTTCTGTTTTTGTATTTTGCTCCCTAGTGTTTCATTTGAGTTTCTTTAGTTCTTGTGTCTGATTTTGTAGTTGGTTTTGGTTTTGTTCCTTGTGCCCCTGCTTGTGTCTTTACCTGTTAGTTATGCACCCTAGTGTTGGTTTCTGTTTCCCTGTGTCCTTGATTAGTTCTTAGTTTCCCTGTTTTTAGTTCCTTGTTTCCCTGGTCTTTGTTAATTAGCCTCACCTGTCCTGTGTTAGTCTCGTTACCCCTTAGTATTTTAGTTTCTGCTTCTGTTCAGTTCCCCAGTGGTTCATTGTTGTTGTTTGCGATGTTCAATGGTTTTGCTATTTTCAGTGTTTGATGTGTATTCGGTTTTTGTGATTTAGTCTTAGTTTATTCCCTTTATTTTTTGACCCTCGTGGTCCTTTTTGGTTTTGTTGTGTTTGTAGTGTTTTCTGTTTTGTTTAAATAGACCCCATGTGTCTCGGAGCCGCCAGTGGGTCGTCCACCCTTTTTGTGCCCGATGCCACGTTCTCGCACCCGAGCCGCCCGTATCCATGACAAACAGCATCCCAAATACTGCACGGTGTCCTCTGACACTGAATATCTGGTTAGAAGCTCAGCAATATAAGATTGAGCATGTTGTGGTTCATGCAAACAGCTGCCAATACGCCAAATGGAGCAGCTGGAATGTGCCGTAAAAAATCTGCTGTCACCCTGACTGACAGGATGGCACTTTCAAAGCTTTTACATTTACATTTAATTATTTGGCAGATGCTTTCGTCCATATCAGTTGGATAGTACTGCACTTCTACATTTATCAAAAACACATCCACATCGTACGCATATACAACAACAGAATTGTACGTGACCATTGTTTTGTCTTGCATTAAGTGTTTATGTATCTGCTGTAAGTATGAGATCCACTGAAAACTGGAGACAAATTCCCCTTATGCGTGAACAAATAAACCAGATTCTGATTCTAATTAAATGGATGTAGGATGCATGCATGATTGGCGCGTCTGTGGCTGATATCGTCACGGGGATTCTGTTCGTGATTCAAATCATGCATTCAGTTACGATGCCGTTGGTAGTTGTGGAAGTAATGGAAGGTGGTGATGCATCCCCAGGGATTCGCATGGGTCTCAGAAACAACAGCGTGAGCTTTTGAATGTTATCAGGGGACAAATCTTGCACAAAGCGTCCTGCTGGCTCTCCAGATGTGCACAGACTCAAAGTTCCTCACAGTTCCACAAACTGCCCGGGAATTTACTTAAATATTAGCTTGTAGACCACCTGATTTTTCCTTTTCATAGTACAGAAATCAGAATTCGGATTGGTGCGTTTGTCTGCTGCGTAAGTGGTAAATGATCCTCTCTGTTGCTCAAACGGCATGGTGAATATTAAAATGTGGAACACCGAAGAAGAGCTTCAGTTGTGGGATCTTTGGGAAAAGGGGTGGGGGCTCACACTTGCTCATAACAAGCCAAGCCCTTCGAGCCTGAGAAACCCTGGATGTTCACTAAGGCTTCCAAAACGCATCCATGCCCATGAATGCTAATGCTAAAAGGTATGATTGGAAGCCAGGCTGAAGCTGTCGTCTGGACAGGCTAGAGAAGCCCTGGTTTGGCTCTTCACCATGTCCTTGCTCTGCATTTTAACTTCTACATTCTGTAGTTTGGACACATACAGACACAAACACATTTGTACTCATGTCCCCGCTGGAGCTTCTCGTTGATTCACATGCTAATCCCATTGACCGCTCTAAAGCCCAAGCTGACATGGTGAAAATGAGCAATGAAGTTTTGGTGCATTAAGATAAACAATCTGGGGGGAATAAATAAGTAAATAATAATAAAAGCATCTTTCGGGTTTTTGAGATTTTGGTTTTCTTGGTTTAGTGACTGATCACATGATCATTCAAATAACCGATTAAGTGACAGAGAGACACTTATTGATTCCAACCTGTAAATTTTGGAAGACATTTTACCCAGAAAAATGTGACTTGCTTCTATAAATTTTCTTGAGTCTCTGTCAATGGTAAACAGTGAATATGAGAAACACATACACACCTGAATAACGCCAATATCGGCTGAACAAATGAGAAAGCATTCACCATCTCCATCTATCTACTGCTCTGTTGTTGAGGGAAAAAAACATTGTTCGCTCCCAGTGTTAGCTAAATCAAGCTAAATATTAAAAATCCCCTCTACAGAACTATGCAATTAGCACCTTCTGTATTGCATTTTGAAATTACTGGCTGGAGCTCCTCATTTTTGGAGGTATGACTGTGGATTCAATGGTATTTTGCTGTTTCACTCTATACTAGCGAATCCAGCTGAGGATTAAAATCCATTTTCCATTACTGGGAAACACTGCAGTGTTAGCTAAAGGCATTGCAGGCAGCAGGTAAGACAGGGGTGCTGGGGTGTCATAAAGGGGGTAAAGCAGGATGATTTCATGGGCCCCGAGCAACAGGGGCCCTAAAAAATTTAGAACTTAACTGAATTGGTCTGGGTTGGGGGCCAAAATTGCACATCGCTTTCATGGGGCCCAAAATGTCTAGCTGCACCCCTGCACAGTGACCTAGACTTTCCAGTAAAGAATATGTAAATTCGAATAAGGTGGAAAAACCATACAAAGTGCAATTTTCTTTAGATAAGATAAGCTGCTCAGGCAACTAAACAGAGTAATTAGGCTACTGTTTTCATTAGCCTGGGGGAGGAGGGGGAGGGACCATTCCACAGCTCAGGGGATTTTGCTCATGTTGATCTGTCTTACACCTAAAACTTTCACTGTTCCTTTTTATTCTTTTTTTTTTACTTCGAAGCCCAAACCAATTCTTCCATTTTCATACTGTCAAACCCTCAAAAGGTACAGACGATGTACCTATGCACCCAGATCTAATCAATTCATTTAAATTCAATTCAATAAATTTTTTGTATAACACCTTCCACAACAGAGTGGCCCCAAGGTGCTTTACATGAATGTGTTGCGATGCATTATAACACCATTAAGAAAGAATACAAACACAGGGAAGACAAAGAAATGTCAGAAGGAAGGTCAGATGACAATGGAGGACAGGAACCAAAAACTCCCAAGCAGGGAGAAAAAAAACATCTGGGGGTCCAAGGTCACCTGGCTGCACAACATCATTGAACATTACTGAAAAAGAAAGTCTGGGCTTGCTTGCCAAACGAAAGGTGTAAACTGCGGTCGAGGTCCATCAATGAGTCAGTTCTCCATGCTGGTGTATGTAAAGAGGCAGCTCGAAGTCTGCACCCACAACGTTTATGTTTTAGTATTAAAATGGTTCTGATGATTAAATTATTGTCTGCTTCCAGCTTTCACAGTCTTGTGTAATTGTTTCATTCATTCAACATGCAAATAGAAAAAATGTGTTGAATCTGTATATAATGCAAATATGCATGACTGAAGCACTCTACTGTACATGGTAAGAAAATAGCATTAACAAAGCATGAATGAATTCCCAGCCATTGTTATTCCCTCTTTCATACCATAAAATATATTGATTGTGCTGTTAATGCTGTTAATATATAATAGCTAACATAACTGAAGGCTGCTATATAATTCCATACTTTCTGCCTCCTGTGGTGCATGCTGAATGTGGGGAAAGGTGACAGGATCCATCAAAACAATAGTACACATATGTACATACATACAACTAAATTTCCCACGTTTTAATAATGAAATTCTTACTTACTGCTCTGTATTAATGCGCGCTCTGTTGCCTCGAGGCAGGAAAGCAATCAGGGATCGTGTCGCTCATTCTAACTGGGGAATTAGCACAAGGCTGTGAGCAGAGACTCGCATGGCGCGCTCACGATGCTCCTCACACCCCACCTGGCCTTTGTTACTGTCCTCACCTTAACAAAACAAAACGGACCTGCTAAAACTCGCACGGATCTCTGCCTCCAAACAATAACCCCTCCATCCCTGCTCCTCTCTACCTGCCACTTCCAGTTTGCCATCAGCTCATCTAGGTAAAGTGCTCATAAATTGTCATTCATTTCACGTTATTGATTAATATACACTGAAATTGTAAAATTAACATTATAGTATCCAGAGAGGAACTATAACCTCATCTTCTCAAATCATAGGGGCTAAGTCGGGTCCAAGTCTCGAGTATTTACCCTCAAGTCCAAGTCTTGCTGAGTCTAGTCACAAGTCATCAAATTTGTAACTTGAATCCAAATCGAGCCACATGTCAGTGACTTGAGTTCCCACCTCTGCCTCCAACCCTCCTCATACAGCTGCTCACCAAACTACAACAACAACAACAACTATTCTTCCTCTACTTTTTCGTCTGTGAAAGTACATGATGCCACCTACTGAAAATACCTCTATAATCATATACTGTTTGTGCTAATTCTTTAACATGTTGCTGACTTGATGGTGCCAGTGTGGTTTACTGTGTGCTGATGTGCTGCATAAGTCAGGGGTCTCAAACTCCAGTCCTGGGGAGCCCTGCACAGATTTTGGTTTACTCTCATTTAACACACCTGATTCAACTCCTTGTGCTACTGTAATTATCCCACAGCTCTTGAGCTGAATCATTTATGGTGGAACACTGGGCTCTGGCCCCCCAGGACTGGAGTCTGAGACCCCTAGCATAAGCATTTGGGAGATGACTGGATGGATGATGATAAGCTGTATTGCATGAAAAGCTGATCCCTCCCCCTTTCCTCATGCAGATCAGGAGACGAAGGCCTACACCTGCCACCCTGGTAGCATCCAGTGACCAATCCTCCCCAGGTATTACCTCTTTGCCACAGTTCTGTTGAGGTCCAGTGAATTTAGTATTAAATTAGTTTCTTACAGTGCAGAGCACTGACACCAATATGCAAAGGTACTCTTTTGCTCCCCTACATTTGTCTGCTCTGGCCATCTAGGGCCACTTAGTCCAACCTCTTGGCCCCATAGGAGTTTTACTTGCACAAAAAAGTTCTGAGGGCAGAAATAAAAATGATTGGCTGAGAGAGATAACCAATAAGATTGTAGATGAGGTGGGTCGAAGCAACTAGAGGAGGCGGAACCAACCAATCAGATGTCTTGGTCCTGCCTCCTCTAGTTGCTTGGGCCCACCTCCTCTAAAATCTGATTGGTTGTCTCTCTGAACCAATCTTTTTTATTTCTGTTCTGAGAACATTTTAGTAAAACTTCCCTGAACGACATCTCGACAAACGACTGTTTACGTACATTAGACCAACTTCTCTATTGAAGCTAAACACAGACCTTGTAATGCAGTGAAAAAAATATACATGTCCTTAGTGAGTTCATAATCAGAAAGTGGTCCAGGAGTGAAAATCTGCATTATATGGAGATTTAGCACTTTTGCTATTTTTACATTTGCGTGTTAAAAGAATCAAACAGTGAAGCGAGAAATGAATGTGGTAAAATGGGAAGCAGACAATGGAGTCACAGACCACTTTCTTCTGTATTCATCTGGGCAGCACCTCAAATTAACCATCAGAAGCATTTTAATACTGAAACACAAACAGTCTTTCATCAGGAGCACCCATAACAGTTTAAGGGTCGTAAAGATTTGAATAGTTCCTGCTTGAAAACTGATGGATTAGGAGATGAGGTTGGAATAATCAAAAAAGATAGAATTATAGAAAAATGGAACTACTCTTGAGGCATGAACTTGCTCCCTTCAAGTTCAGCCAACACAGTAGTTTAATTTGCCAGTTATCTGTTAATTTAGATGCCTTAGGTGGTTCTCCTATCCAGCAAGAGCTGCACATCTTACAGCTTCCTCCTTTGTCTTTTATAAAACTTCTAATCACATTAGCAAAGAAATTGACTTTTCAAAAACCAGCACACCATGCATTTCTAAAGGACTGGTTTGGCCATTTCTTTGTACTTGTGTAAACCACTTGCAGAATGACAAATAAAAATCCTTGTTCCTTGACCAGCAAACAAATCAAGGTTGGTGGCAAGGTGATCCCAGCTTAAGCATGGAGTTAAAATAGTAAAACAAATTCGGGCAGTAGCATGTAAACAATTCAATGTTTCACCAGACCTCAGCACACAAGTTTGTTTTCTCTTCTCCGCAATGGGTCTCCTTTGGTCCTCCTGAGCATTTTTATCAAGGAGGGTTGTTCAGCATCCTTTAACACCAGAGGACCCTGGATCCACAGATGTCACCACTAATGTCACGTTTCTACTCTTCCAGTTCATTCTTTCAGTTTCCCCGCAGTCTCCCGTCTTCCAAATAATGGAGTCTTTTAAGACTTGATGATTAGAATGATGAGTCATTGTGGAACGGAGCTGCCGCCCCCCCCTCTGCTTTTCTGTTTTTGGCTGTGCTCTGTTTTTTTTTTTTTTGTAAATAAGCTAAAGTATCAGCCACAAGTACCCAACGAGGACAGCTGGATATTTATAGCGACTTACCTTCCGGAGTGTGCTTTAGATATAGATTTTATTTAAATCATGAGGAATTGGTGTGAGGAAACAGAGAGTGTGGAGAAAAACAGAAAGGATTACAAATGTTATATAATGTTTTAATTATAGTGGATGTTAGATAGTAATGGGAGGAATTAAATTTAGAATATGAATCATTAATTACTGTCCCGACAAAGATGGTAAAAAGAAGTAAAAGTGTGTTTGTGAGAATGTGAGAATCTGATCCTTCATCAGCGATGTTCATGCAGTATCTGTGTGAAACTGGGGCATAAATCCCCAGTTACCATCAGACTGGAATTACTCTTGATCTTTGAGGATCAACCCCCCCCCCCCCGTTTTAACTGCCCTGTCTTATAAAAGATCAGAAAAAGATTCCCTTCCGCCGCTGATGATGGAGGCGCGGCCTTTGAGCTGTCAGCGCCGTCGTTCACCGCCCTGGAGGGAGGTGATCTATTGTGGCCATTATCCCCAAATCCAGTGGCTGTATGAAGAAACACACAGTCCACAGCAAACCACATTCATCCTGTTATTTGCAGAAAAGGTGCCAGACTGAATGCAACCAATTATAGTTTGTGTCAAACATAAGTGTCGATATTAATGAGCTCAATATATACTCTATATGGGCTGTTCAGTTGAATTTATAGGAATAATTACAGAAATATTTCAATCTGAGCAAAATGTCAGCATCATATTTTTTAGACATTAATGTTCTTGTAGCAATTTCTTGCTGTTTTCGAAATCATCACATTAATATACCATCCAAACCCGAAGACATCTAAAGCAGCGTTACGTAAATACAAAATTGCATCAGGATGGTGGATGCTTAAGTGCAAACATAAACAGCTATTATTACTGCAATAATCCCAATTTTTGTTTCCATTTTTTTTTTCCTGAATGGATTAACGTTCTATTGCGTGATATGTGATGTCGACACTGTCAAAGGATGACAGGAGTACATGCCAGGAAATGGATCGTAAAGAAATGAATCACAAAAAAATTAGGTAGGAGGAACGTGGGTGGACATCATTAGCAGATGTACAGCGATCAGATTTACTGCACGACAGCCGTACTCGAGTTTGGCAGCAGCTCCATATTGACTGGGATGAACTCTTGGGTTGTACATCTGGGGTTCATTAAAGCAGCTTAGCGCTGAGAACATCAGTGTGCCAGAGGACAATATGGAAGGCAGAAAACACATCTAAGAATTACTCCCCAGTTGCCCTTGATTAAGATCTCCAGACTGCACAGATTAAAGTTTTAGAAACATAAATAAACAAATCTTGGATGTGCTCCATGTGGAGTGAGAGGGTCCAGTGAAATTCTGTTCGCTTGCTTTATAGTGACGGGGGAGCACGTTTTGTCAGATCAGTTAAAAGCAGATTCAATTCCTCCTCCTACCTTCCAGCGGCTACAGTAGAGGGTCACAGTGAGCCTGGGGCTTTTCCCAGGAAACGTATGGCTCACAGCAGGGAACACCGGCTTCGGGTGCCAGTCCAGCACAGGGCTCACACACAAACAACTAGACACATAATTACACACTATCTGCAGTTTTAAAGAAGCCAGTTCACCTAAACAAATGATTTGTACTGTTAGGAAGCCTGCAAAAGCTACAGTAAAACCATGGTTTTCTACAAGACCTTTCAAACTAAATGAAAGAAATGAAATAATATCCTCTACTAGGGTCAGACACAAAGAGAGCTGATTCATCTTAGTAGAGCCAGATATCTCCTCTTTTCATCTGTGGCTTTTGTTGTAGATTAAAGATGGAAAATAACAGCCTGGCATGTAATACATATTTAGTTGTTTTTTATATACGCCGTCTTCCTGGTGTCTAGGGATGAGTAGTTGCCAGGCAACTAGGCGGTGTCCTAGAAAAAAGTTGAAAGGCCCAGAGATAGACATGTGTTAAGCTATCTCAAAACTTGGTTGATTCTGCTTGTTGTGATGGATGATTTCTCTACTTTGCCTTTGGAATGTTGTCGTATTTTATTTAATTTGTGCTGGTATGTGATATTTTATCTACGCCTGCTGCTTCAGCTGCTGACAGTAGGTTCCGGAGTACCACCAAACCGTGCTGGTCAGCACTTCACCTTGCTTTGCTGTGCAGTACATTTGCTTGCCTACTCCTAGATTTGGAGCTGTGCATGTCCTTATGAATAAATTACACAGGCCCCGCAGCCAATTTTAATCGTCATGATCATTTTTATTGCTGTTGCAGAAATGGCCCAGAAAACTGCGCAAAGACTACAGAATAAGCTGTGAACCTCTTTATCACCAATGCTTGCTTTCTATATTTACTATAATTTGATGCTGTTTTGCAGAAATTGATGAAGACCGACTTTCCAATCAGCTGTACAAGGTGATATCCCGCACTCATCTTCTAACTGTTTAGCTATTAGCCATTAGCTGATCTATGCAGGTAGTAGCCATGCAGAAGAAGGTGACCCTTTATCTACAGAGGATTTTCAAACATTAAATTGCTCAAATTGCAGTGAAAAACACTCCCGTTTTCCCCACATTGATTAATCACAATAGGAATCGAATGTCCTTTCTGCTACACTGTGGTACATAATGCATGTGTTGACGTGTCCAGAACTGAATGTCCACCTCATTTTTGAGGCTTTCTGTGGAACTCCCTAATATCTGGCCTGTTTCCCTAGGCAGCGCTGCTAAACTCCCCGCGGCAGCGACGGAAGGGGGCTCGCGGCACACCAACTATGAAAGGTAGCCTCCCGCCTGCCCCAGTGACAGGAACTCACGGTTGAATGGGAGGTGCCAGGTCAGCTACTCCTTGACTGTGACAGTCACTTGGCTCACTCTCCATGTACTGATGGGCAAAAGCCCCAGGCATCTGAATAGACTAGCAAAATAGCAAATGTGTCTATTTTCCGATGTAGCTCCTAGCTACCCTGCTAGCTACTGAGAACTGCTGACATCAAGCGTGTTTATACATAATATAGACTGAGCGTCATGTGACCAGTGTTAAACTGGAATTAATAAGGAGATTATGTCGCCTTTTCGCGCGTGAGAAAGTACAGGGAAAGGCATTTGAGAAAGCTAGCCGTTCAGATGTCATTATTATGCTTCCAATTGTGTATCTCCTTACCATTGCGCTCCACTGTGCAGAGCTGCAGTTCCTGGTGGAGCACCACCTATACTGTCAGCAGCACGGAGGCGCCGCTGGGGACGAGTGCTCCTCCGAGAGCTGCCTGTCAGACCGGCCGAGCCCAGACAGCGCGACGGCCGGGGACGAGCTCCCCGAGGACGAGGGAGGGTGGAACGCGGAGGACAAGGCCACGGCAGAGGCCTTCGAGAAGCTGCGCTGCCAAATGGAAGGTTAGGGTGTGTTGGGGGAGGGGGACGCACTTCCCAAGCGATATGTCAGTGTGGAGGGGAATGGATGACGTTACTTTATGCATTTTTTGGCGGCGTTTCAGCTCATGCCCGGGGCGAGCAGTTCACATATGGGGTAGGGGAAATCGATCTCGTACCAGGGTCATAGTGATGGAGGATCTGAAGGGTGACTTACCGTAATAACATAACGCAAACTCAAGCTCCTCTAATGCCTTGTGCAACGTTGTGGGATGGGTGAGCAAATACGATGGCAAGGAGCAGGAGAGTGGATTCGATTTTGCCATAGGAAGAGGGAAGAAAAAAGATTGCTGACCGCAATCCTGACCAGCCAAACACTTAAGAGCATGACTTTTCATTATTAACGAAGTGAAGTGTTTAGACACAGATCAGAGGGATCACTAGTTATGACCAGCATGGTGCCAGGTGCCAGATGCTGGGTTGTACTGATAATGAGAGTAAGCCAACCTTTCCCAGGATGAACTACACTCCAGGGAAAAGACATTGCGTATCTGTTTTCCATACGCTGATATTTTTACACTAGCTCAGAAATAGCTCCTGCTTCCCTACCTTCCCTTTACTTTGTATAACTAATTAAAATTATACAGATAACATCAATCTGTATTCAAGCGTGTGTTCATTTGGTTGAGTCATGACAAGTCTTGCTTCTTGCATGAGGGTTAGAAATTCTTTATGAATTAATCTTCTGATTATTCAAAGTTAAATAGCAATTTTGGCACATCCTTACCAAGCTCTGAAATGGATTCCAAGAAATATGACGTACGATTCCCAAAAATGAACGCATTGTAGCTTTTGATGTGCTCTGAAAATATTACACGCAATTATTGTTCAGCTCAGCCTTTGCTCTGCATTGTAACTGCGTTTACCCTATTTATAGGGAAATGCATTCTAAGAAAAGGGCATTTTTCTCCACAATCGGTGTTGCTAGAGAACCTTATACTATAGATCCGCAGATACAAGAAATAATGACGTACGATCATTTGAGGACTCATGTCTTATGTATTGATTGGCGTAATTGCAGTGGCTTTGGTGGTACTTTAAGACAGTGTTTCCCAACCCAGTCCTCAGAGACCCCAGACAGTCCACGTTTTTGCTCCCTCCCAGCTCCCGACTCACCTGAACCAGGAATTCTGTGTTATCGATTATCTGGGAGAGACCAAATGCATGGACTGTCTGAGGATCCCTGAGGACCGGGTTGAGAAAAATTGCTTTAAGGTTTAATAGTGGGTCATATACTGAGTGCCATTTTTGTCCATGTCCATTGAAGAATTTTCTAGAGAAAGCCTGTTAGAAGCATCTGGTGGCACTGAAGACCTCTTGAAGGAGGACATTCTCACTCCCGTGGCCAAGGAAACTCCAGCACATCTTAAGCCAGCAGGTGAAATTTACCCACCAGCTGGGAAAAGCTTATGTTTTAAAATGCCAGCAAAGAAACATGCTATTATCAATTAAATCATATACATAGAAACAAATCATACCGAAAAAAAATATTACTGTTTCTATAGAACTCAAACTGTAATGTGAGATCACAAATTTTATAGCAAAACCAGCATAACACTGGAGTGCAGCGTTTCCTAAGCATGTCCTTGGGGACCACAGACAGTCCACATTTTTACTCCCTCCCTGCTCCACTCCCCACTGGACAATGCACATTTTTTGCTGTTGGGAAACACTGCTCTAGACCAAAAATAGTATCCATGAAGAATTCGTATTTCCCCATCTATATTAAAAACCTGTGTGACTTGGATTTTGTACAATTTGCATAATGATTAGAGCCAATTTCATACACCCTATATCACTGGGTTACAATGTTCCCCATAATGCCATCAATATACACATTCCTGCCAGTCTTGTTAAATTAATCAACAAAACTATTGGCAAATATTTAATTGGGTTTCTGGGTGTAAAACAGTTGGAGGAACTCAAGTAGAGTTTTGGGAATCACCTCCTTGTCTGATTTTATATAACATCTTTCAGAAGTTCCATTGAGAAGTAAGAGCCTCCCGCTGTTCAGGCCCGTCAGAGGAGAGCACCCTAAAGTGAAGGGCGGAAGAAGCACTTCTTCCCGTCATCTTAAAAAAACACTTCGCTCTTTTTGCACAGGCGAGATGAAAGTGAGTCCACTGGCAAAGGAGGACAAGAAGGACGCCCAGGAGGAAGAGAAATAAAGTGGCCTTCGGCCATGCCAGATGGAGAATGGTGGAAACGACGTCTTACCCACCACATCAAATGAAAAGACACTAAAGCTCCTGACTTCTGTGACTTTAAGGGCGAGAGGGACAGCAGCTTAACGATTTGGCCTTCACTCATTCATCTCATCTGTTGTTCCTCTGTTTTAAATAGCCTTTGTACTTTCCTCTTAATAATCACATTTTTACATCCCTTTATCTTACGCACAAGCATCGCACGAAACGTTATTGTGGAAAAACTTTGACGGTCTTGGCCGGTCTTCGCGCACACAGGGCGAGTTCCGTTTTGACAGTGTGGCAGAGTAAGGACACATTTTCCTGTGTTTCGCGCTCCTCTGTGAAACTATGGAGAACTGAAATTTGATCGATTTATCCGTTTTGCTGTCGGCGCTTTATTGTTTTTTTTAACCTTCAACGACATTCCATTTCAAAGCAATATTACAGTATCTTGTGTTTTTGGTAATACTCTATAACCGGGGGTGGGTGGAACATAGGAATTTTTGCTACTAGCCAACTGACCGTCTTCAGTAAAAAATGTAGTCCAACATGCCGTGTTTTACTAGCTAACAGGCTTGTGTTCAGTTATTATGCTCCTCCTTCATCTTAATGACTTGCCTCAGGTGAGTTGGTAAGTTTAATTTCCAACCCTGTCTTTAACATGCTGAATATTATGGTTATAGTTAACTTAATAAAACTTTCTTCTTAATGCTTAGAGTCTTAGTGACATAGTCCAGGATAAGGCAAGGTAGTTAGGTTTACTTTTACTTTTACTTGCTCTTTGGGTGAGTTTTTTAGGTTCGTTTTTGTTGTCCCGTGTGCAGTGAGGGTTACCCACAACCTTGAGCGTGTCGGAAAAAAAACATGCCCCAGTTTCTTAGAACACAGTTTCTCAGAGGTGCTGTGTGACCACATTTCATATTGTAGGTCACACTCAGATGCAGACCACTTGATGTAGATTAGACCTGAATAGACAAAAGAGTGAAACCCTCTGATTGCTTTTAGATAGCCGAGTCACGTCATATATGTTAGTAGTGTTGCAAAGCAGCCTGAAAACGTGTGTGTAAGAGTGGATCGCCACTCATCATAGAACTCGTTCGTCATTCTGTGAAACCAGAACCTGAATCCTGAGAACGACCACTGGATCTGCCCTCTCTATTCCAATCGCTCCTCCTCACCTATCTCCTCATCCTTCATTTCCTTACCAGTGTCTTTTGAATGGCCCCCCCATGCATGAGCATGTCAAGAAGGACTGTGTTTACCCGGCTGTTACCCGGCGATACCACACTGGTGGGAATTGGCCTAACCCGCTACAGCCATTGTGAAATAATTCCGTAACTGTACAGTTGTTCTGTGAATGCACAGGTGAAAGTCAATACAGTAATGTTTGTAATAATACACTCTCTCAAATTTTACAATCTATGTCTTCTATCCACTATGTATATATACTGTATGACATCTACAGTGTATATATACAGACAGATGGGTTTTGCTTGTGTCTTTTCATTCTTGGTGTTTTAATTTTAAAAAATCTGCTTCTGGTTTGGTTAGACTATGGTTGTATATACATCTTTTAATAATTAGCACAGATTGCCCACGTTAATCTCATTGGCCTTATATGCATATAGCTGTCATATAGTTATATTCCACCATATAAGGTAAATATGACTATAGGTTAACAGCATTGGCTAAATGATAAACATGGCACAGTTTAAAAAATGTACTGGAAACGGCAATTATAGGTAGCAATAGAGATTTTTATATTTTACTATTAATTGTAATACTTATCCATGTCAGTGGTAGCCCTCAGGAATAGAGGCCCTGATGGTGCCTTTCTGGTCGAGTATAATGTAAGTTACTGAGCAGTGACCATAAGGCATGTTATCCGACAGCATTTCAGATCACTAGCTTTTGCAACTATATATTGTTTCGGTACATGGCATGTGTTAGAAATCTCTTCATTCGGCAGTGCAACTGTGCAACTCTTGCACCTGAGTGGAAGAACACTACTTACTGTATGAGGGACAAAAATCGTATAAAATACGAAGAGGTTTTTGCAGCATTTCTGCCATGGAACGTTTATATGTTAACGCAGTAGATGATCTCTTATTTGATGGCACAATCACTTAATTTAGGTAACTGCATCATCCACATCAACAAATAAAATCATTTTTAAAAACCATGGAAAATACCACGTAATTGTAGTAAAGAATAGTGTTTTTTCACCTAAGCAACGTGCATTTGTTTTCATTCTACATAACGATGAAGTCTCTCGTGGCTCCTGTGAGGGTCAATTTTCATTTTAGAAGGCACGCAGTTGGTATCTGTTGTCAATAAACCAGTCATTCAGTGAACCACAGCAATATTTAACCATAGTTTCCCTGCCAGTAGTACAGCTGCAAAGTGACATCTGGGAAAAAATATTTATTGTGTTTTTCAATTACAGCAAAGGGAAAAAACAGCATAACTTTTTATTATTTTGAAATGCAAAATGAAGCCAGGTTATGAATCTCCAAAGAAGAATATGCAGTTAAACAATATCAACTTGTGATTTCATCTTCTGATTGTAAGACTTGGCAATTACTTACTGCTGGATGGAAAGTAATCTATAACTCATTTCAACGTGAGTAATTTCAGTACCATTGCATGTCAGGATTACAGTGTGATAGATTGCATCTAGACAAGCTGCATCTTAACAAACACAGGTTACAGAAAAACCCCAAACATTTTTTGGCTAAATTTTTATACAAGTAGAAAAATCTAAAGTGAGTTGTAAATGCAGGTATATAAAAGGATTTATAGAATACTCTTTCTATTAGAAATATGCTGTAATACAGAAACAACATGATACAATTTTCTTTCTTTTTTTTCAAATTTTATATTCAGTAGAAAACATATGAAGTGAAAAATAAATAAAAATTTACATTCACATGTACGATTACCAGTCAGGGGAAGTTTTTGGCTGCTAAAACTGCAGCGGAGTCCCTGAGGGATTTGTATGATGACTTTATCAATAAAATTAGATAAAAAAAAAGAAAAGAAAAACCCTCATAATATCATATATTCACTCAATGGCCACCTCCTCGCTAATGCACACAGCCTGCTCCTCCAAACAGCCAATCATGTCACCACAACCGAATGCATACAGCATTCAGACAGAGTCAGGGGGTGCAGTTGCTGTGCAGCTACGGTGCCTGATCTACAGTAAGTAATTCTGAATGTGCTGTAATGGTTGCTGCCAGATGTGGTAGTTCCAGCATCTCAGTAACAGCCACCTTCTTGGGATTCACACACACCACAGTGTCTGGAGTTTACAGGAAGCGCCGCGATATAAAAAACATCCAGTCCATGGTATTTCTGTGTCTGAAAACACCTTGTTAATGAGGGTGGTCAGATGGGAATGGCCAGCCTTGTTAAAGCTAACAGGAAGGACACAAGAGCAAAAACAACAGCTCAGAACAACTGATTGGCTTCTCTGCGCACATAACCCATCTACCCTTCATGTGGTTCTTAAGGTAATAATTGGTCCTACCAAGACCTAGCAAGGTGTATGTCAGGGTCACCAGCCTTTCTGAAACTGAGAGTTACTTCATGGGTACTGAGCCATACGAAGGGCTACCAGTTTGAAACGCCCTCCTAAACTTATCTAAACTTCTTGTATAATAAACATGTTTTAAATGCTTTTTTTTTAGATATTGTCATTTTCAAATCTATATAAATGCAAATGCGATTAAAGAAGAATAGCAACAGGATATAATTAAATTTTAGGCGCTGCTCACTGGTGAGTTGGGCTATTTTTAGAACAGGTCTGCGGGCGACTCATGTGGTCCTTGGGGGCACCATGTTGGTGACCCCTGGTGTATGTAATAAAAGGGCCATTGAGAGTATATGTTAGCGTAATAATGGAATAATGGATTTGACTAAATAGCAACATTGGTTTAAAAACACTTTCTTAGGTGTCAGCTAACATGACCAGCATGTATTTTCCCATTTGGTAAGGAGCTGCAGTGTTATAAAAGAGATCTCCTGTAACTGACATCATAATGGCAACTGTTTGTGATTTCATTCAAGAGGCAGCTTGTGTTAAAAATAAAACATTAAGGAAATGCTCCTATCAGAACTCACAGATCCCAAGTGTTCACTCCCATTGGACAGTTCCTGAGGACGGAAAGGCAGTTTGGTCAGTATTTCTTTGACGAAGTACATGGCGTTTGGCCAGATTTCCGCGTGTGGATGCTGCCTGTCGTTTAGTGTTATTGCTCGTGGAGGTCTTTGGTGGGCTCCTCTGTGGAGTCCTCTGTGCTTGAGGACAGCTCCTCGATGGAACTCTGATCTGTCAGCCCTGAGAGAAGATACCAAGGGAGGTATCAGCCAAAAATGATGGAAGGTGAAAGGGGAAAAAATCAACAAGAAACGTGTCATTAAGTCAAGGCCGACCACAATTAATTTTCCTTAATAATTATCGAACATATTATTAAAACTGCTAAAGGCAGAGCCAAAAATATTCTTGGTCGCCAACCCATCACAGGGCTGACTCTCATGCAATTTGGTAACTCCAATTCACTTTAGCGTATTTTTGGACCATGGGCGGGAGGAAACACTATGACAACACGGGGAGAACATGCAAACTCCACACATATGGAGACATGGCAGAGACTCGAACACTGGTCCCAGAGGTGCGAGGCAACAGCACTAACCACTGCACCACTGTACCATGCCTAGTAAGTACATTTCAGACGTCAAAATACTATTTGCCTTTTCTACCATTTCAGCTCATTCTCTATTAATCATCCATTTTTTAACGATCAACTGTGTGGTACTGGGATTGAGTTTGGATCACTGCAGTAACAGACTGCATAGACTGGAAAAAAAAGAACAGCTACCATTGCATGCCCTTTCCTTCCACTTCATCTTGTTTTCTTCAGAGTGGCGACTCCAAGTGGAGCGGAAGCTGACGAGCTCTGCCGTGACGTGAGCGAGATTCCACTCAAGGCCTCTTGAGCTCTCCCTCCACAGGGAACTGCAAAAACCATAAAATGAAGCATTTAAAATGATTTAAGCTTAATTTATGCAGCAGTTGTAGTATGAAAACTGTCAATCAATATTTCGAGTGCCCTGCTTCATGCCCCGTGATTGGCTCCAAGCTAACATTGCATGTGTGCTTGATGCGCAGTTAAAGAACAAGGATGGATTTCATGATTCGGCTTATGAGGAAGAGGATGAGTTTGTTGCTGGTGTTAGTGGATGGGTGAGCTCAGAAATCTCCTACAGAAAAGTGCAAAAAACAACAAAAACAGAAAGTTTGCAACACAGTAGACTGAGACGAACTTCTTTGTCTGTCGTATGTGTAGAACCTATGAATATCGTCAATAGCCAAAGCAGGTTTTAAAGAAATCAAAATGAAGTTCTGACAACTGATTCATGAGTAACACTTACTTGACGGGACACAAATACTTACTAGTAACTCAGTTACTACTGACATACAAATCATGAACAAATATAGTTGCTACTTCAGATAAAAGATGTGTCATGATTCATTAATGATGAACAAACATGAGATCAGTAGTCCATTAGTGTTATTCATGCCTTGTTCCTTCAGTAGTCCCTTAGTACTTCCTTCAGTAGTCCCTTAGTACTTCCTTCAGTAGTTCTTAAAGGTTTACAGAATGAACAGATATAATAAATACAGTAACAGATGTGTTATGATGTGTCATGATGGTGCATAAAATGAGCTCAATATGTAACTAAGACTTAGTTAGTGGTTAATTAATGGTTAATTAATACACCCTCCCTCCCAGCTCAAGCACCTGTGCCGTTTGGAAGGGTCTGGTGGGTCTGGATGCTCTTGAACCAAGGGGATGACTATCTTTTCTGCCATGTCCGTCAACAGGGAGAAGGTGGGGTCAACTATGAAGTCGATGAAGCCTGGAACATGCATAAATAGCATAGCACGTATACTGTACCATAAATGGCTATTAAAAACAGCTCCGGGCATGTGAACAACATTTCACATTCGTGTAAAATCCGAGGAATAGATGCATTGTTCACCTCAATTTACTGTAGCTCTAGAGAGAAATGTCCCTACATAATTGATGGTATCGATTGGTATTAAAGAGAGAATAAACACATTTGATCAGTGTTATTTAATAATGAATTTACAGGTGCCTTACCTATCTGGGATTGAGCTACTAAGGTGTTCTTGCGATCGCATAAAGGGGAGAGGGGGAGGCCTAGTTCTTCCTCTTTGTCACCCTAGAAGAAGATTATAAGTTTGGTTTTTGGAATTTTATAGAAAGTCGTTGTCAGTGAATAGACGTGGCAATGCAGTTAACATAACAATGTATCAAAGCATGAAACATTAAATATTAGCTGATCAAAGCAAAACACAAGTAGTCAGTGTACTGCATGCAGTACTGCATTTTGGTGAACAAGATGTACAACATGCTTATAGCAATTACATATTACAGTGTATTTATAAATCAAAATGCTTTTAGGTGGTTTTTGGCATTCTGGTGATGTTCTACAAATCGGAAATGTTATTATTGGAATTCATTTCATTGTTTGCATCTGCCACTGTTTGCCATACTGCTGTACATCTCATAAACTTTCAATTAGTTTGATTTATCGTCTATGCCATTTAAAATGATTGGAAAACGTCCACTTATTGTTTTGCGAAGCTGATTCATACTTTAAAATGAGCTTCTCTCTGTAAGTTCACTGTTGGCTGCATAAGCCAGCTAACTGGTGAGCCAGCTTGCACTTTGCTTAGCTTTTCCCTTTGTTGTGTGGTTGTTTTGAGGAGAATCATGGTGCATAAACTCATCCATAGCAAGACAGCAATCAGTAAATGTTCTATAAGACTATAAATATTAATTTATACATTTAAAATATTATTTTAAGGACACATCTAGCAGGACTAAATGTGAGTATAGGCTCTGTAACACAGTGAATGCAAATAATTTAATGAGGTTATTCAGTTAAACAGTTTTGATGGTATTCTTGGTGACACTTGCCGTCCATTAAAAAGGCCAATGTACTGGAAATACAGAAAATACACAGAATCCAACCCAGATACTTTACTTCCAGGCAGAAACAGAGCAAAGCCGGTCAACCTGAATCACAAAAATACGTGACAACCAAGCGTCCTTTTGGATGCCACCACCTCCAGAGGACGCTGCATCGTGACAGAGATCCTCGGCTGCTGGCGGCCAAAGATATTTGTCACATGAATTCATTCTTCCGTATTTGGACTGTAGCGATAATCTGTTATGCTTGGCTATAAAATACAATATGGTGGATTCCCATAAAGACATGTATGGATGCATGCCATATTATACATATAGCTATATAAGTGCATATGGTTTCTTTATGGTTTCAGAGAATAACAGAAAATGTGATAACAATCAAACTGCACATTTGGCACTCAATTCCGTGAAAACTTCTGAAATGGAACATTTCTGAGACATTTAAGGGACTGGTGCATACAGTATGGCTCGTTAATATTGTTTAGCTTAAAATTGATTCTTTTCATTAATAAAACTAATAATAGAAAAACAACTTGCAACACTCAGAGAAAAAAGCTGGAAAATGACGCAATGTCATTTTTCCATCCGTGCAACAGTGGTTTGATTTTAGAATGAAGTTCTGAGCCGCCAGCGAGTTAAAACACTAGTTAGAACTGGCATGGTTCTCATTAGATACAACTGGAATGCTGGCTCAGCGGTTGTCAAGCCTTGCCCTGGCAGACTGCAGTGCGTGGAGGTTTTCCAGTTCTGTTTAACCACTGACAGCCTCAGTGCTCAGAGGAAAGGCTAAATTAGTTCAATTAGCATGATAATTAGTTCAATCAAGTGTTGTAGCACTTGGGTAGAGTGACGTAGGCTGTCAAGATTTTCTTGGTCTGAATGCAGAGTCCCTTACCATTCGATAGAATAAATCATTATTTCCTGCTAGGTAAATGGTGTATAATTTTGCCCCTTCAAAATAATCAGTATAAATTACATATTGCATTGATATCGTTGAACTAACCAATTATCCACAGAAATTTTTAAGCTATGACTTAAGTAATATATGATAACGAGTTGTAGACTGTATTGTTGTAGGATTAACAATTAATGAATTAATGCATTCAGTACATCAGTAGTCTTGAACCTGTGGCTGTGTTTGATGTCCATTTCCTGTGGTTTAATCACCCCCAGGCACTCTGCGGGACTGAAAGTGGATATTTTTTCAGAGAAATCTGTTAGCTTTTATATTGGAAAAAATCACCCCTGCTGCCAAAAGTGTAAGATCACTTCAGTGGGAAAGATTTAACGTGGATTGGGTCTGCTTAAGAAGGTAGTTCATACCTGTCTGAAGAACTCCTCCATCAGCGCCTTGGTCCAGCGTGAGTGCAGAGCCCAGGGTTTCGTTGGGTGGCTGATGTCAGCAGTGTGAAGCAGCAGGGACAGTGCTTTTGGCTTCTCGATCCTGCAAGGGAACACGTGCAATACCAAGCTGTCTACTTCCCGTCTTCTGTCTACTGAAACCTGTGATGAAGTCCCTCACAAAAGCAATGTGGAGTGTGGACTTACCCTTCTGGCTGCTGCAGGCAGGCTTTCAAGGCTTTGACCTGCTGGAGATGGTAGGACATGTCTGTGGCCAAGACCATCTCTATCACTAAGGCTCGCAGTTCCCTGATACAAGATGCAATCGTAAAATACATACGCTAGTAATATTGCACTGGAAAACCTCACCAAATAAATTATCAGTCATAATAACCAATGGGATTGTGGGTGATGGGTTATCATTAATGGTCAGTCATTAATTGGTTTAAGTGTCTTCCGATTGGTTGTCTTACTAATTGCCATTGGGTTTAATTTCTTAGGCAAGGTAGCCAACTGCCTGGGCCCCCCAAAAACTAGGGGCCCGATGAAGACAGAATTTCCAGAAGATTCATTTAAGGACGTAACATAAATAAGATAATTAAAATTATAACAACATGTCTGTTATTTGTATTTTTAGTGACAGTTTTCAGGACAGACAAAGTTGCCCCTCGTTCTGGCTGTAATGGACTAGCGAACAAGTGAACTGGCACAAAGCAGCCTAAGAGAAGGAGAAAATGGTTCAAACATCTCCCGCGTCTTTGATGCTATCCTGCTAGAGTGGTAGACAAATTGTGAACAGATGTGGAGAGAACATAATTAAATTAACCAATGCAAAAATTCAAGACTAGCCTTAGCCTCGGGGCGGAGTAAGTCATAGGCTATGATAGGCTACAGAATAGAGCCACAGCAAAATAGGAAACACTTAAACTTTTTAAATTTGGCCGATCAATCCTCTGGTGTGACACCCCCAGCCCCGAGGAGAGGGGGGTGCAGCCAGTCTATCGCTCCAGGGCCTATGAAGCTCAAGGGGGCCCATGAAGCCCAACGCGTCCCATAATTTTTATTATATAGTGATCCCCAGCTATACTGTGTGGGAGGGGTATTTTAAGGCTTAAACAGTTTCCAGCTGCGCCACTTTCCGAACGTTGTTTAGGCTATTTAAACCGGTATCGCGGTATAAGAAAAATTCATATCATAACAATAATAAAAAACGGTTTTCAGTATGAACCGGTATATACCGCCCAACACTACTCGGCAGCCATTTAAACTATTCTTAAAATTTAATCACCAGCTCCCTTAATTAATTAATTAATTAAACAGTCAGTGAGATATTGAGTAAATCAAGTAAGTTGCTGCAATGACTGGGGTGACTTTAGGAGAGGTTTAGAAATGGCTATGCTAACACACATTGACAGACATAATGTCATAGTATTACACCCACATGGATATCAGTTAAACAGCATTTCCTTTGATTGGTTAATGCTTTTGCACATTACTGTAGTTGTTGTGGTATTAGTGCTTGTGTCTAGTAATTCTTCCCAACAAACAGTTAATTGAAATTAGTGAGAAAATTCAGGCTATGCAGCCATGGGGATTAATTCTAAGGCTGTTGCCCTTTGTCATACTTACATCCATTCCTCACGAGATAGATTGGTGAAAATGTTCATGCTCTCGTCCTGCAGCAGACGAAAGGCAGCACTGACGTGGTGGCTCTCCTGTACTGAGCGGTCATTGTAGATCAGCGCAAAGTCAGACCTTCACAATTAAAGAGAGAGACATGTGTCAAACAGCTCAGCTTTGGTGAGCTTCTCCACCTTAGGCATAGGTAGTGTCTCTCAGGAGTTTTACTTACACAAAAATGTTCTGAGGGCAGAATGAATAATTATTGGTTCAGAGAGATAACAAATCAGATTAGAGAGGAGGTGGGTCCAAGCGACTAAAGGAGGCTGAACTAAGACATCCGATTGGCTGGACCCACCTCCTCTCTAATCTGATTGGTTCAGGGAGATAACCAATCATTGTTCCTTCTGCCCACAGAACATTTTTGTGTGAGTAAAACTCCCATGAACTACAGTAATTTGGGACGGAGAGGTAACACTGCATTTCCATTCTTCACACCAATTATCACTTTATCGAGTGAGTGATTTTATTAGATATTAGTTTCTTACAGTAATCTTCATACAATTACAAAATATTATCATTAAAATTATGTATGGTTTTCTCTACTTAACTATCTCTCCCAATCAAGTCAGTATCTGGCTGTTGAATTTTATCTTAAACAGTGTCATTTACAATGTACAATATATGTTAAAAAACAGTGCAATGTATTTTTAATAATCAGCCATTTCCAATCTCCTTATGCAATATAAGGTTTTAATAAGTATATAGAATAAAAATCCATAATTTCAGGTTTAATTTTCTGACCCTCATTGTTTTGGTAAATTCTGCTCAGGGACAAATGCCTGCAGGCTCCACTTGCTACTCTGCTGTTCGCTGATTGATTTATTCATTTGACATTTTTTCATTTATTGGAAAGTGTTAATACGGAAAACAAAGTCTAATCATGCTTGCTGATGCTTTTTCCACATGATGTTTGTGTTTAGATTTGAATCGCTCTCATTTGGGCCGCTCTCTACATAATAGTCTTTGGGATTAATTTAATCCCGGGTGTTTTTGCAAGACAGCTAAATGTTTTAAAAGTAAACTAATCTAATTAACAATGAAATAATCATCTGCCTTGAAAGCCTGGTGTCCATGGCCCCATTTTTATTAATGTGGAACATACATGTGTGCAATCATTAATGTAGGTTTGGAACATTTCAATATTTTTTTAACACTAATGTAGGTACTGTAGGCCCCCTCTCACCTTCTAGGATATTGAGGTCCATGGAGATTGCCTGTTTTCATTCCCACAATAAAATTGAGAAAACATTCCAAGTGACAGCACTCTGGTTCCTAAGGGGGCAAATAGGCTAAAAATAGGCATACTAGGGAATTTTTTGTTTAGTCTGTTATTTGACCAGTATTACCAAGCAGCTGCTGTGTTTGACATGTTATTTTAACTTGATGTGCAGGACAGGCCATTTCTTAATATCCTGGGTGATGTAGGAAGAAGCGCATCAAAACAGGACAGTAAAAGATTCTAATGCATGTGGCATAGCTGTCAAGTCTCCCGTTTTGGCCGGGAAACTACCGTGTTTTACCCCTCTTTCCTGCCCTCCTCCCGTATTAGTAATTTCCCGTAAATCTCCCGTATTATAATATCATTTAAAAAAAAAATCCTCTGCCTCTCCAAACTGAACTGTCAGTAGCCTGGCGAGAACTGCCACCTGCAGTAGCCTGCAGGTCATTTACAACATTAACCAGGTCATACATGCGGAGGTTAAAATGGCAATGCTGTGTGCGGACAAACAACGTCACTTTCACCTTCTGTGACGACTTCAACAAGGATACAAAGTCTGCAACAAATCTGTATAATAAGTCATTAGTGAATGTCAGAGAGCCACATGAGTGAACATGAGAAATTACAAGAAAATGTGTAATGAAAATAAAATATAAATGTCAAGTGGTTATTTTAGATTTCTTGTACACCTGTCTTAAAATGTAAGGGATACTGGAGCTTGGTTGGGGTGGTGGGATGGCTCATGGTGGGTGCCGGAAAATTTCCCTTATTATCAAATCCAAAACATGACAGGTGTGGCATGTGGTCTTAAGCCTAAACAAAATGTCCTACTGTAACGCTCATTCAAAGACATTCGTTCAACTGTTAATTGTATAAGTTGCTGTTAAGAATTTTAATTAAGCCTCTCAACTTGAGGTAATTTGTTTTAGTGATGTGTGGTGATCCATCCTCATGAAGCTTGCTGACAATGAAGGTTTGTCTGTTTGCCTCACAGTCATCTGTCCTGCCGCTGCCGAAGACCAGCCCTGCCCAGATCTTCATAACAGTTAGAAAGCTGATCTTTTTTAGCAGACAGCCCTTACTGACAGGATTAAGCCACTTTAATGTGTGGGCTTTCCTTACCGTGTGTGTATGTGAAAGCTGTTTGTGGTCCCTGTGTGCTCATAGTCATGGATGGCGGCAGCAAACAGGGATGCAAGGACCTCCAGCTCAGACAGCCAGTGCTGAAGTGGGAGAAGAAGAGAGATGCTGCAATGAGACATGCGTCATTAATGCTCCATCAATCCATTCATCCATCCATCCAACCATCCAACCATCTGTTTATCCTGGTCAGGGTCACAAGGACCATTACATAGCTAAATACAAAGAATTACAACATTTCTGCAATGGGAGACTTTTAGCTAATGCAATGTAACATTTATTCTAACACGTGATACACCGTGGTCTATGTCCTACCTCACTGTTTGTTAGGTTTAAATGGAACATAAATAATGTAACAGTGTAAGTTGTAATGCAAACAGCTCAGAACTGTAACTACCATATCATCCAAAATAGTGTCATTGAAACACCTTATTTTAAATTCAATCAGTCCCCAGGTTAAGAATGGGGGACTGATTGACTTACAGACAAGTCGTACTTAAAAATGAACTGCCCTAAAATATTGCATGGCTTCAGTGGTTTTTCGGCTTGAGGTACAGTACAGTATCGTACATTATTACTGTATAATAATAGTAATTATTATGCTGTATTATTTTTCTCACTTACAAATTCGACAGACTTAGGGAAATGGATCTCATTCGTAACCTGGGGACTGTCTGTACAACACTGGCTATTTTTGACAAAGGTATTTCATCACATTAAAAATGGAGATACTTAGCATAATCAGCAGAATCCTGTACGTTATTACATTGTTAGTCTATTTATAGCGGATGATGTACTCAGTAGTGCTACAGCAAGGACAGTTCCCTCCGTCATGCCTAAGGTCACACGGTTTATGATGGTACCACGAGTCCCGTGCGGAGCAGCAGGCAGTGAAGCGTCTGGGTGACATCAGCGGCATGGGTGTGGCTGTGGTATGGGTTGCTATGTTTGCTGTATCCTTTCTCCAGTGCGGACAAGAAAGACAGCATGTATGAAATGGGAATCTGCAGATGGAAAACACTGGTTAGCCACCAAGTGACATATCCATCCATCCATCCATCCCACCCCTTGTCCCCTTGTTTTTGATTAGCTACTGTATGGACATTCTCCTTTGAAATGTCGAGACAGGATGCATATCCATGGACATACACTCACACACAGTACGGACAGTTTAGAAATCCCGATATACTTAACTCTCACGCCAACCCTGGGGTCAAACTGACCCCCAAAGGCACAGGTCAAGTGACTTCTCATAGTAACATAATTATTGCAGGAGCATGTAAGAGTTGTGTACGTCACGTTTATTTAGTTAAATGTGCTACTGATATGACTGCAACCGGCCCGTGGTTGTGTGGCTTGAAACAGGAGCAGTAATGATATGATGGTGAGGCGTTTATCAAGTACAACCTCATACGTCTTTTGAGCATGCGAGGGCAGAGAACGTGTGATTTAGGCTCTGTGTGTGTGTGTGTGTGTGTGTGTGTGTGCGCGTGTGTGCACACGTGTGTGTGTGTGTGTGTGTGCGCGCGCGTGTGTGTGCGTGTGTGTGCGCGCGCGTGTGTGCGTGTGCGTCCAAACCTTAAACCGGCTGCCGAGCTCATATCTTGTGATCAGCTCCATGAACAAGGTTTGCAGCGAATGTCCTTCACTCGCCAAATTCAGCGCGAATACATTGAAACTCCACCTGTTGATGTCCTGGAAACAGGAACACAGGGATGATTAGCATAAGCTGTTTTTCTTAGGCTGTCCCAGAAAACATCTGTGTACATTCCTCAAAATCTCAATGGCCTTCTCACCCGGAGACGATGAATAACTCCTGATGGCTGGTTTGGCAGAGCTGTGGTGTAGGCCTTCTGAAACATCCTTAGAAAGAAAAATCATTCATATCTAGCATTTGTTAATAGTAACCTCACTATAGCTACTGAAATAAAGGTCGCAGTAAAAAATAAAAAAAGACAAAAAAAACAACAAATATCTGATCTTTTCACGCCGTCAATCATACTCACCTCTCAACAAATATCCCAGCCTGCACTGCGTGGACGATACTGCGAAACCGCGGCTTCTCACTGGAGCGCCGCGCAGGGCGCTGTGGTCTCTGCGTGAAGGTGGAGGCCAGCCAGTCCCGGACCTCCGAGGGCACGGCGTCAGAGCGAAGCTGCTGCAGCTCATCCTTAAGGTCAAGAGCCTGCCTGCTGGGGCAGGGTGACGCAGATTCATGGAAAGTCAAACACTATGGGGGAATTCCACCTTGCTTGGGCCGCAAGTACGTGGGGCAGCACCAAAGCTGACTTATTCCAAAACCACTTTTATACATACATACACATATACATACATACATACATACATACATACATATATATATATACACATATATATATATACACACACACATACACACACACACACACACACACACACACACACATACATACACCGGAATGAATACTACACAAAAATAGAAATTAATTTTCTTCTGGGAGAGCTGGAACAGCTCAAACTGGATTGTTTGTGGTCAAGAATTACATTATGTGATTGTGCTGTGGATTAGTTTTGTCTTTTTCCATCTACACAAAACCAATATAGATAAATATATATATATATATATATATATATATATATATATATATATATATATATATATATATAAATAAATGCAATAATGAAGCATATTTTACTAGAATAGGAGTTCGTGGTCAAAATAATGAATTGATGCTGAGTCATAAAATGCTTTTATAAAATGAGACCCTTTCAGTCGCTGAGTGTTAGAAAGCAAGATGTCCCTTTTGCCTGTGCTGCTGGGTTCCACCCCTGTACTGAACAAACGGCTAGATGACGGCTGGTTGGACAGATAGAAAGCAACTTGTTTTTCTTCAAGGAGAGCCGCTTTTTTTTGTAAATGTCTATTTTTTTGCCCTCATTCTTTAGTTGGACATATTGAAGATTGCAGCAGTCAGAAGGCTTACCTTGTCTCGTCGATGTAGACCGCTTCAAGCAGGGATGCGGTGTATTCTAAGTTTTTTTTCAGGTCTTCGAAGTCCACATCGCTCTCATTGAGCTGTTTCAGCATGCACCTTAACCTACAGACAAGAAGTCGCCACACTGCGTCATACATCAAGAACGCCTCCACTTTAGCCTGACATGGGACGATCTGCTCTGACAGTTACAGTCACGGTGTCATAGTGGTGACTTGTTTCCACGGGACAAACCGGACAGACCCACTGTTGCAGTCTTCAGCTGCTAATGCACTCAGATGTCAGAGCTTCACGGGAAGTGCAGTGCAACAGTGCGACACTGTTTAAGAACACCAGATGACCAAAAGCAGGCTGGCTATCAGCCAGTTACGGAGATGAAAGCCCTTTCCACTGTGGACCTGAGAACGTTTTGGTAACACAAGGGAACAATTTGCTGCACGGTGAACATAATGAAAGAGACCCAATGACTTTTCTTATAGAGCCATTGGGAGAGAGGTGACTTGTGGGTGATTTACTTCTAAACACCATGTCTCCTGATGGGTGAAGACAATAAATAACATGTTAAAAGAAAACATACAGGCAAATAGAAGCCTGCAAAAATGTATGTGTTCCTACATATGCTCCTAAATCTGCTAAGGAGAAATGCACTAAGCATGATGCTGAAGTGTTTGTTTAAAATAACCAGTTTAAAAAAAAAAAAACAATAGGCAACACTTTATTTGAATAGTCCACCTACAGAGTAACATTTCAACAACTTAGTTGAGATTCAACAATTCAGCTGTTTAATTAACAGGATGCACCGTATACAGAGTATATGTAACGATTCATGAACATACCTACATAATCTTAGAATAATTTCAAAGAATTTGCTACTGATTCAGCCTTTGTTACATTAATTGTTGCATCTCAGCTAATTTGTTGAAATGTTACAATTAGGCTACTCAGTATACCCTCTGTAGGCGGACTACCCAAATCAAGTGCTACCAACAAATATTCAAAAATCATTGCTTCATTAACCATGCAGTTCCAAACTGATTCCTTTAGTTTTAGCTGATGATTAATAAAAAATGTTCACTGTAACATTAAATTATATTAAAATTTGACATAAATATGGACCAGAGCTTGCAATGTATACAGTTCTTACATTACAGTTGAGTATAAAAGCAAGAAACTCCATCTCGTTGTTCCATTAGGCTACAACAGATGCACCACAAGGGACCTGAAAGCTATTGGAACTGCAGATTTGTTTCTGCTCTGCGTCTGAGCACAGGAAAACCGCACACTGACAGCCAGTCACATCTGCAAACCTGGCCGATATACGGTCGGCATGTGAAGACCCAGATCAGCGCTATAGCGATACGCGCAAATGGAATGCAGGCCAGTTTGACATACACATATGTGCCCTCATTAGCGGGTCGTGTGCGCAGTGTTTATACTTCACCTTTCAGAGAAACATAAACTTTAACCGCCATCAGTCTGGTTTGTAATTTTGACGCCCCCCTGCTTTCAAATGGTAGCTGTCACGTTGCCCATGAGCCGTCCTGTCAAGAGCCGGACCGCATCCAAGCGAGACGGACGCCTAGCCGTATTTAAATGTCTCAAAACGCATTGCACGTGTGTCACAGCAAAGGCATGCACGGGAACCAGGCAGCTGTTGTTAATAACCATCTTTCTTACGTTTCCTCGCATGCATTTCGGCCGGGGAGATGCATAACACGGGAAAGAAACTTTTGATTTAAGTACCACGTTAAGACAGTTTACTGCTGGAATTTTCTCATTTATCTTGGATGGTAAGCGGAGTCTGAATAATCATTTATGTAATCTAATGCTACAGCAGACAGTTCTCTGTCGCCTGAAATACGTATTCACTTAAAACGAAACCCGCATCATCTGCAACCCGATTTGAACTACAGTAGACTAAACCTGATCGAAACAGATTTCATGAGAAAGCCACTTCAAGCAGTTATTTTACAAATACACTTTACGTTTGATCTTCACTTAAATCTCTACTCGATCAGCGATGCAGCACAATGTTTGTAAGAAGTACGGTTTGTTTTATAATGGGAAATGAACTATCCGATGTAAAAAAAAATAGTCACCGAATTAGAATTATTTAAAAACATATCAGTAATTATTTTAATTACTGATTAAATGTAATTAGCTACATTTTTGTTGCTTTTAATATTTTCCTATATATTACATTATAACGATTTAAATAACTGCAATATCTTGTGGTTTAAGCAAAAGTTAAAAAAAAAAGTGCTTTACCACTTTTTTCCTACATATGTTTAATGATCTGGGTTTCCTATATTTCCTATAACTTTCATAACGTGAAAGTTTCACATCACAGATGTTGACAGTTCCAATCACAAACAGAATTACAATTTTAAATTATGTTGACATAACTGCATAAGAGGACTGCTTGCAAAAGCACAAAAAACGGAGCAGACGTCCCTTACTTGCATCTCCTGCATGACCTCCGACGTGACTTACCTGCTGACCGGAGTTTGGAGATGCTTCTTTCGGACCCGCAGAAGCTCGGCCATCTGGTTCCCCCACCCCACCCCCCTGTGTCTCACAGCTCAAGAATGCGATCGGGTGATGGAAAGAAATGGAGAGACGAAGAGGAAGGCGCTCTCTCACAATATGACAAGGCTCGTCAAACCCCGATACGCACTAGCAGCCCCAAGCAGCCTCCCACTCCCCCTCCAGGGGACCGGCTCGCCTCTTATTGGCCCGGGCGCCTTGCGGGTCTCAGACCTGGGCTGTGAGAGTCTAAAGTGGGCGGCGGGCCCGTCACGTTGACGATATGTTTGTCTCTATTAGAAGCGATGTGCACTCAAAACATGGGTGTAGTAGTTTTTTCCACACATAAGCAAGCAGGGGGCAACAGCCCTATAAACATCTGGGAGTAGAAAACAAAGCAAACAAGATCCCATTTTGGTTTGCTAGAATTGCCTACTGTCAATGGGTTACCATAAACTTAAATATAATACTTATAAATGTACACTTTTATATGCATATTAATAATTAGTTTCGGGTTTTAGCGTCATCTGTTTTAATGTTACCTGTCCATTTAATACATACGGAAGTTCGTTTGGTGGTTAATTTTAATGCTGTTTGAGACCGTATTTGACAAAAAGTTCCAAGTAATATCCTGACATTATGGGGTTTTGCTGTTTCTCTAATTAAGCTCGATCCAAAAAGCATTTTGCTACTTTGATGGCGTTTTCTGCATCCCCATTGAGTTCAGTCCATCTTGCTCTCCTGAACGCACCAGTTCCCATGCTCCTTTGCTCTTTGACACTTCCCCCGCTTGTCGGGCAAATGACATCGCTTCAATCATGGGCTGTTATTTTAAAATGCTCTCTAGCATCCTTTCCATCACGCTTGAAGTAAAGAAAATTGATGTTCCAACTGCATCTGTCAGTGTGTGACTAGGCAAAAAATAATATTCTCACCATGTTATTACTTTTGGCTTTTGCCATGGCATTGATATCATATCATTTTGAAATGCAATATTCAAGTGATCAATGTACCTCTTTACTGTAATTGTTTACCCTCTTAGAGGTTGTTGATCGGAAACTTTATCTGGGAAAGCATATGATTTAGGAGTGTATCTAGTGCCGTCCAGCAAAGACAGGGTTGTCAACTGTCACGCATCTGGTACGTGACACTCATGCTTTCAAACTCTGTTGCTCACGTGAGAAAACTTACAGCAAATCTATATTATTTCAATCTAACCCTAAAATTAGCTACATCAAAAGCGTGGGTGTAGTTTGCAAACCCTACAGACTATTTACAAGGTAATAAAATCCTTATGTGTGTGTAAATGCACTTGCAGACTTGTCACACCAGGCAGCTGACCAAAGTTGGAAACCCTGATCAAAGGGCACTTATATTAAGATCGCCATTAACTTGAACTGTATTATCTTGGGCAGATAAAGTAGTGGCTACATTTATACAGAAGTATCTAATTATTTTGTACCCAGGTGAAAAATTTACATATAGCAAGNTCACCTGTTGCCTGTTCCATTTATCAAGTTTTGTGTATATCAGTCCGCGTCTCCCCATGTCTGCGAGATCCGGCATTGTATTGTCATGTGTTGTGCTTCGTCCGTCAGTCTGCCTTGAATAAACCCCGTTTGCCCGTCAGTCCGGCTGCTTTCGTCTGCTTCCCTGCTCGCCTCCCCGGCGAGCGTGACAGCAAGGTTTTAACCCATGAAGTTTACAATTTGAACCATTTATACATCTGGATGTGTTAAGTGCATTTGTTTAGGGTTCAACAGCTGGAACCCACCTGGACATCAAGTCAACACGCTTTAGTTCATGTTTTGAACTGCTGTGCCACCTGCTGCCCAGTGAGGAAGCAGAAATTGTTAAATCATACCTACAGTAGCAAGCGAATCAGCTAGAAATTCCCCTGTGTCTGGCTGTGAGATCCCTTTTTAAAGACTGTAGGGTACACAGAATCTGAAACAGGAACATATTTGTCTATGGGAACATAATTTCTGGGCTGAGACTCTGAAGAGGGGAAAATTGTAAATGTCACTGGGAGGCCATCAGATGTGGCAAGTATGAAACTTTGGAAAAAGTTAAAATTAAGAACATATGTGTGATATTTTCCATATAGTTCTTAGAGAAGTTGTTTTCGATGTAGCGAAGGTGGCAGTTTGGCTCTCAGACCTGTCATGGGTGTGATTGCCTTGAACTATTAATCAGTACACACTTGAAACCACTTGCAACCAATGAAACAACTGGTGAAAAAATGGTTCAGCCAATCAGTGACTGAGCGCTTCCAGCATGTGTAAGCATGAAACAAAAACCACAGCTCCAATTCAGCCTAAGCAGCACAGGAACGGTAACACGCCTGTGATCTTGCAGTGGCTTTCAGGTGCCACAGCCGTGGGGTGACCTGGTTCTACTTTGACCCATCAGACTGGATGCAGTCGACATGATTGCGTGATGTGATGGCCTCTTATAACCGCGGCTCTAGTGTATGTGCTGAGCGTGCGTTTTCCGAGTCCGCCTCTGTCCCTGCCGTCTCCCTCTCAGTTAGATGGACGCAGGGTTTCTACTCTTTCCATGACCAGTTGAGTTCAGCAGGGTCACACTTTGTACATATTTATTTGACAGATTTGACCTAAGCCATAGTAAATCCAAAAGCAGGATGGCCCTTATTTTATGTTTTTTTTTTTTTTTTTTAATATTTTGTTTTCCATAAGCCAACGTAATTCACTTAGGCCACGGTATGTTCATTTATAAAAGAAATTCTGCAATGTACTAAACAACGTGTCAATTTGAGCATTATTTCTTAAGGATTTTCAACACAGGACGCCCTTTATGAAGCGTTTGCAGCCTGATGTTTGGCTCCACTGTATTTGAAGCATGTTTTTTTTTGTTACTGGTAGGTAATGTTTTGCTGCTGTGGCTTTAGCTCATGCGATGTTCAAGGAAAGAGTCACAGCTCACAGTAGGCAGTACAGTTTAACCCACATTTTCAGTGGTCATCAAGGTGTCTGGAGAGAAAGACTCATTTAAAACTGCAGAAAGGTCATTGCCTGCAGCCCCCTCTGGTGAATTTGTGCAGATCACCCGATTCATTTAAAATAAAAACAGATCCCTCGAAGATTTGTTCTTAACTTTATTTTTTTTACACTTCTTATTAGGTTGTGAGAAAAAATGTTGATCACATCCAGCCTACTTGTCTTAAATCAAGACAATTTGTTTTTAGATTTACTGTGTCATATTGATGCAATAAAGCTGAACTTCCAGCGTGCAAATATATCAATACTTCCATGATGGATTTTTCATTTTCAGACTGGAAAATGTTTGAATAGTTAAAATTCATGTAATGTTCATTGTGTGTTGATTTTTTTTTTTACTATCTATCTATCTATCTATCTATCTATCTGTCTATCTAATCCTCCCTTGAAACCTCACACTAGGCTCTTTCCAAGCTGACCACCCTATAGGGAACCATGTGTCTCGTCAGTCAATCTCAGCTAGTCTTCCTTCTAACCCACTTCATATCATTTTATGGCATTCTCGAAAAATAAATAAGTATATGTATATTGTGTATGTCAGTAAAAACAAGGTAAAGGGTCTCTTCTATATCTATGACCTCCTACAAATGATGGCTCTACACAGCCACAATGTACATTTTCGCTGCACATTTTTATTGGCACTCAGACGGAAACATGCAGGCCACAAGATGCAAACATCAAAGGAATACTGTTGTGGACAAAAAGGCAGCTGCGGACGCGTTTCTCTGGTTTGCTGATGCCCCGCTGGCCTGGGCTTATCATGCATCACGGCACTTAGTTACCGCCCCCTGGGGGGGGGGGCAGTTGCTATTTCAGGCCTGCTAACACCCAGCAAGGCACATAGTTTCCTCTGGTGTAATGCACCAGTGTAATGGGGACGTCACACGCTTGGCCCACTGAGAGTCTGGCCGACATAAGCCTCCCCAGCGTGCCAACACTGCTAAACGGCTGGGGGGGGTCAAGAGAGGATGGCCCTACTGGGCTGATGGATAGTACCTTCACAGAAGACCTGGGAGGTAAGTGTTGTTTTAACAGATAATTTTTTACCTTCACCCCTCCATAACCTTAATCCACTGTTTACTGATGTTTGGACACCCCCGCCCGCCCCCCCTTTTGAAAAATAACATAGACATACATACAGTGTTGATCTGGGGAAAGTTTTGGATTTTCAAATGTCAGAAGTTCATCATCATTATAAAAATGTTATACAAATATCATACTTACTGAAAGGCATTTGCAGAGATAATAGGACATTTTTACAGACACAAACTGGTCAGAACCATTTCCACGGACTTTTTCTTGCAGAGATTATATTGATCAGAAGCTGTTTCAAATGTCAAGCAACTTAAGGCACAACTCTTGCAGTGGCCGGGTTAGGGTGGGGCACACCTTGGCTCAGCCCAGTGTGACGACAGAAGCTTTGTAGACCTCCCTGTAGGCGTTACGCATCAAAACATACGGGAAGCAGCTCTCCAGCATGTCCTGGCTCAGGAAGGGCGACTCCTCCACGATCTAGAGACACATATTTAATAACAGATTAATAAAGTTCAAGAAACACCTCATGACCCATCTGTTCCAGGAATTCCTCTACTAGCCTAATGCCCTATTTTAATGTTGCTCCTTGAATAGTCTTCTTAGCTTCTTGCTGTTAGACGTTGTTGTGTAGATCTTCCTCCTCTGCTGCTCACACTCATACTGTACCTGGGCATTCATTGGAAGCTCAGCCTAGCTGCACTTATGCAGCGAGTCGACTCTGACAACTTTTTAAATGTGATATTTGCCTCACTTGTATGGCACTTTGTGAAAACGCTATATAAGAATACATGTAAATAAAGTTTATGCGTATTGAAAGACCAGATGCTACTGTATGGTGCAAAAATGATTCTACATTGTATTTCTCATCCAGATTCAGAAATTCCAACCATCCCATAACCTGGAGCCGATCCCAGCAATCACAAGACAGGGGGCCGCAGTCCATCGCAAGATATACACCAAAGGCAACAGATACCATCACACCTAACTATCTATTTCAAGGTTTCTCAACCCAGTCCTCGGGGACCACGAGACGGTCCACGTTTTTGCTCTCTCCCAATTGGCAGGGAATTGGGAGAGAGCAAAAACATGGACCGTCTGGTGGTCCCCGAGGACCGGGTTGAGAAACCCTGATCTATTTGAAGTGTGAGAGGAGTCTCAAACAAACACAGGATGAACATCAGAACTCCACACACTCAGAGCCCAGGGTGGACCTCAAACCCACAATCCATGAGGTGTGAGGCTATATTCCTACTGAGCCACTGAGCCATCCTATATTTAAGCTGCATTATGCATGCATTTACAACAGCAAGATGCAATAGAGAAAAGTTTGAGTGTCATTCACCATGTGGAGAAGTAGATATATGGCGTCTCTGTTTTTGCTCTCAACTTTCTCCACGTTCTGGCCCAGCTGCAACAATGTGGACGACGCCACCTACGGAGACATGCGGCAGGCGAAGCGACGTTAAATATGTCAGCGGGCAGAATGAGCGGAGGAAGGAGGAAAAACTGAGTCAGCCTTGGCCACATCGTCACTTTTAAAGAACAAGAGATTCATTAATCATGCTAGACTTCTGCACCCACACGTCTCTGGCCGTCCTCAAGAGAAAGTTACGCACCAGGAGGAATTCTTTCAGGTGCTGCTCAATGTTCTTGTTCAGGACGGTAAACATAGCCGCTGACAACTGGTTTATGGCAGTGGCAAGACAGTGGATATTGTTATGGTGCCCTGTGGAAAAAAGAAAGGAAGGACAGGAGCTGAAATGGACACGGGAACAGGCTAAAGAGCAAAAGGCAGGGCGGCAATCATTCGGCTCACTGCCGACTGTATCGTATCGCTTATCTTCTGGAAATTTCCGACTTGAGTGCATGGAAAAAGCAACACGAGGGGAAATGCCATCCTTTGGCTCTTTGACGTCCCAAAGTTTTTGTTTAGGCACTGAGCCAAATAGCTAACGTCAGAAGGACAGAAGCCAACACTAACTTCTTGAATGCACGTCAGAACTTAAATATCTGTAAACAAATATATTTTGTAAACATTTTCTTCAGTTTAACGTCTGCCTTTTCTAGCGATTGAATAGAGTGATTACATTCTATTTTATTCTCATATGCAGCGCTGTGAGTACTGCATATGGCGTGTTCATTTTTGCCAAACTCTTCAGTTTTTCCATCATTTACTGTGATGGAAAAGCATGCAGGAACATTTTTACTACACAAGTCTGTCTTTCGATTTATTGGGGAAAAAAAAACTATTAACCACAATTATTTTACTATTAAAAGAGATATAGTATTTTAGATATGAGTAATTCTGTGATAAAGATTTGACTCTAGGATCTAAGATCAACGGCCGTCTAGTGGCAGTTGAAATCATATGGAAGTGGTCACATGATGTCCCTGAGAGTCCAGATCGAACAAAACAACTCCGGGAGCCAGCAGAGATTTATTTTTGATGACAAGCCTTTGCTGTGATTTGATCATTTCTCATGAGAAAAGTCTGAGAGATGCGAGTTGTGTTTCAGTTTAAGAGAATTTGGGCACAAAAGCCAGTGATGTCACTGCTATTTTTCCACACTGCGAATGAGCGTCAGGCTTTACCCCCATAATCACGGCTGTAGTAAGAGTTGGCATCCAGCGCCAGTATGGGCAGAGAGACGGCAATGTACACGAAAAGCAGACAGCTGAGCTTGTATTCCTCATCCACAGACGAGCCATCTGTTGGGAAGACGGGGATTGAGGTGGTGAGATCAGGATGGAAACTAATCACTGGAAGGCTTACGAATTTGATGAGCCGGAATCTTTTACCTGCACGCATGCTGGCGATGGCCGAGACGAGGGCAGGGTCGATGTCACATGCTAGTCCCGCCGATGAGGCCAGCTCGAACACGCCAAGGGTCACCTTTGGGGGAGGGGGAGGGGTGTGGAGGGCACATAACGTGCACGGTTAAGCGCACCCGCAACTACGTGCCACAGTCGCCGTGTGAAACCATTCGCAGGCAGGTTCCTGTTCAGAGTCTTTCCGTTGTTTTTGTGGTTGTGTGCTGCTGATAAGATCTGCATGTGTCACCAGGCAATTAATTCTACCCTCTGCCCTGGAGGTTAAGGTGTGCGAACTCCAAGAGATAAGATCTCAAATTTGGTCATTTCTTGCAAGAGAAAATGAGAATTTATTCTCGGTTGTTCTAATGACAGTAATTTGGGCAAATGCATCTGGAATCCTCATTTACTTTCTGCTGACTTTCTTAAAGGAACCAGTGCTCCCATATGTTTTATTGTCTCACTTGTTAAAGGCTGTGTTGCCCCAGTGGGCCAAGCAATCAGAACCTCTGCAGATTCGTCAGTATGGTCAACAGTAAGGTGAGTCATCCGGCAGTGTGATCAGCAGGGAAGTAACACCTTTACACAGATGATTACTTCTGAAGGTGATGAAGTGGTGCATCTACCAAGACAATGCTCTACCTTAATGTCAGTGTCCGGGGAGATTAGGTCCCGAAGGCATTCAATTGGTCCCATGAGGTAGGGACAATGTTTATGCAAGACCTGAAAAGACAAATGATCATAAATTCACCGTTTTATCCTAACTCGTTAACTGACATGTCACATTCTATTGAGGAGCTCAGACAAAACAAGTTAAATATCTTTTCTGCTCATTGGATTATTTCTGTCTGAAATTTGAAATATTTTCTGAATAATTAGCTTTATTCCTTTTTTGTAGTTTAGTTACTTTCTCTTGGAATGCAGCTTTCGGTAACATTTTTAAAATGGCTTTTTTGTGCTAAGAATATACAGTATAAATAGCATCCTGTCCAGGGTATACCCCAGTCTCATGCCTGGTGCGTCCTAGGGTAGGCACAAATGCCCCCATAACCCTCTCAGGGATAGTCAGTTGGATTATATCAAGCTAATTTAATTGTATCATTTTTGTCACACAAAATTTTTTTTCCATTGGGTACGATTATAAATATTCAGGACCATTTCTGCTGTTGACCTGTCAGTGGTGTGATGAATTGTAACCTATTAGCAGTGGGAAATAGATGCACTGACATGAAATGGGTCCCGTCATGCGTGAATTTTCCTGCTGGACAAGGCAGTGACATGCAGATGGGCCACGCCTGGAAAAGTGAACAGCGGGGCCTCGGGAAAGGATGCTAATGGGACAGAGGTACCTACATCTCCCAGGGTTGCCTGCGTCATAGTCCTGAAGGACAGGATTACGCCAATGATGGTCATTCGCTTCAGAACGTTCTCAGACGCTAGAGGGCGAAACGGAGCTGTGAGTCACCACTGAAGGCGTCCGGAGATTACACTCTCCCGCTTCTCGTATGCAAAGCTATTTTCTTACAGTCAATTCTCTGGAGTCACTGTACCTTGTAGTTTGTTCTGAAGGTTGGCCATTACCTCAGGCTTGTCAAAGTTTGCTCTCATCTGCACTAGAATGTCCATGTTCTCAGTTGTCAGCTTCTGAATGACCACAACCGAAGGAGATGAGAAAAGAGTTAAACATATTTTGCAGTATAATGAAGATCATACTGCAATATAGAACAATCCTCAAGTAGAAGCTCACCTTCAGCTCGGTGACTTGTGAGGTAATATGCCACATTAGGTTCTCGGTCATGAATTTCAACCCATACGGACCTATCAGTCCTGCTAGGGCCTGCAGCTCTGCGAGTTAAGACAGGAAGAGAGTCAGGACCTCACCAGAACTTTGCGACCTACAGAACCACACTGACAGCTGACTGCCCTGCCAGATGGAAGAGAATCACTGTCCGTTCGGGCTCAGAATTCCCCACAGGTGGGGGAGTGGAGATTCTTTCCTGGCCTCTGATCGGCACCCGAATGGAGAGATGCGCTCAAAAACTGGGAGGAAAAGCAGTAGCTGAGAGGTAATAGGTGGGCGCCAGGTGGATGTGGGAGGAAGGAAGTCAAACCAAGAGTGGAGGCGGAGCTAAACGTGCATGTGTGGGACAGTGTGGGCTTGAAGATCATCTCGCCAGCATGCAGAACTTTCCCTGTTCATAATGTTTATGTTTCTCAAAAGGCCCTTATTGGCAAATAACATGCCTTCTGGTTACATTCAACCTTCCCTGTGGGTGGTGCTTTACAAGATGCAGTGCAAGTGTGGAAAGGTGTGGGGGCTGCGATTAGTAACTGCTAATGTGAAAATAAATATTAAAAACAGCTGATGGGTCATATGTTCATAACAAGGTGTCATTGACGAGGTGCGTGCAACAAATTCCCGGAATGTTTCACCTGAGACGTCGGAGTACTCCTCCGCTTTGAAGCTGGCCTCGTTCTCGTTGGGCTGGCTGACGAAGCAGTGCATGATGGGACAGTGCACAATCACTGCACTGCTGGCTTGCCGGAGAAGACCTTCGAGATACCTGTTGAGTTATGCCACTGGGAGTCAATCGAGCCATATAGTCTGAATACCTTTATGAGATAAGCAATGACACACAGTAGAAGCTACATAAGTCCAGATTTGTTCACAGTAAGTATTGGGCTTGGAGAATTTGATGTCATGCACATGTATGTGGTATGGAGCAGTTACTTGTAGCAAGTATCTAAGAGTAATATATAGGGTAGATAACCATGAAAGCAGCTACCAGCTAGTGTAGAGGGTGGTGATGGTCTGCTCTCCATGGCTGTCCAGAGGCTGGGTCTGCTGCAGCAGCACGTTCTTGACCAGCCGGGTGATGTCGATGTTCATGTACTTAGACATGACGTACAGGCTGCTGGTGTAAGCTTTGATGCCCGCCAGCAGATCGGAAGGCCGGGCGATCTCCTGGGTGGCCTTGTTGTAATTGGCCATTCGCACGATGATCCTGGGGGCAGCGTAGCGCTCGTTCATTACATGCAAGCAGTCCGTGAAGAAGTCAATGAAGCATGCATCTATGCCAAGTGCAGCCACCAGGGGGAGCCACCTAAACGGCGTGTAGCACCGCCGTGTTTGCACACGAGCGCCGCTCAGCCTTTCCGCGGCACGCGTTTAAGGTTCGGGGCTGCGATAATAAGCAGCTATCCTTGTTGGTTGCGGTGCTCCACAAATGAGAGAGCTGGGTCAGACTGTGAATGTCTTTTAGGCAGGATTTGGAAAATCGCCATCCCATAATATGCGAGTAGAGGCCATTCCCATTTTGGGAATGCTGCCCGGGTGGCTAAGGACACAGATTCATAAACCAGGAGCACCAATAAAATATACAGCTGTATAAAATTCATTATACTTGTGAGAGTTTGGTAAGCACTGTCATCCAAGATCAAGTCATTTTTAAAATACTGCTGGATATACTTTTACGGATCCCATTTCCCAGGAGGTGTCCTTGATCGTCTATTAATTTTTTCCAGGAGTAGATCACTGTAAAGTACTTGTAATGTGCTTGTAAAAATTCACTACACTATATTTAATATAAGGTGGACTTATTGATGCCGGCTGCGGTGCAGTGATTGTGTAAACGTCTTCACGGTGGCATTGGGAGGTGAGTGGTGACTGGGTGGCTTACTTGGAGAGGCGTGTCTCGAGCTGGGAGATGAGGAACTCGGCGGGGATGATGATGTGGCCCCATACGGTGAAGTGGTTCCAGTAGCTGAAGGTGGAGCACAGCTCGCTGAGAGCCACGTGGAGCTTGTCCATGCTGAGGCAAGAGGGAGAGCAAACTCAGGCCTGCGCCTTTCTCAACGTGCCATGTGCTCTTCTATCGTGTCTCCGATGGCTTGGACACCGTAGGCCGGAACTACATAAGAAATCTGTGCCTTAGGGTCCTGGAGGAACAGGTCCTCCTAAAAACTTTGGTTTTATATTTTACTGAAGAATAATAAGGATGTGCAGATATATAAATTCTACTCATTCTTTCAGTCTGAATGTTTCATTTTGAGTATCAATTCTAAGGTGAAAATATAGATTTTTTTAACCTGGTAATTTAAATATTTACATTATTATAGGAAGCAGGACATGAATTAGTACAGGGCAGGATCGCCCATGTGGGGGGAGAAAGGGGCACCCCCACCACTTGGCAGATGTTATTGTCAGCTCCCATTGCATTGTGGGATAGGCCCTGCGTGGTGATTGACGGCGCCTACTTGGTGGCGATGGCGCGGTCCTTCCGCAGGCTCTCTGTGCCTGGCTTCTCCCTCTGCACCTCCCCCTTCTTGGGCGCCTGCTTCTTCTGCTTCTTGTTGCGGGCCGTGCTGATGGTGTGCGCGCAGTGCTTCGGTAACAGCTGAGGGGTTGGAAATGGGTTGGAAATGGCTTAAACCAGCCAGTGACTGACAGCAAGCTCACAAACCCCGTGTGTTTAAATCTATGGAGGTTTTACAGTAACTTTGATTTAAAGTCTTTTTTGCATTTATGCATTCTAAGTATTTTTTTCTATAATGAACAAGATGTTGATTAATTACCTACTATAAGGCACACCTTGTCCTAAGCACGTTGTTTCACTGTGTAAAAGGGTGCTGCATTTTTTTATAATGTGGCATGAGGGCTGGGAAATGGGAATTTTAAACTTAAAAAAGAGAATCGCAAAGTTGTTTTAGGCCACCAGACCTGAATTGCAGCTTCAGCAAACTGGACAGTTGCCAAGGGCCCAGTCAGCACAAGGGGGCCCAGACAATATCATGAAATATATATATATATATATATATATATATATAATTTACAAATAAGAATAATTACAAAAAATAAAAAATATATAAAATAATCAGCATCCCTAAACTACCTGCATTTGAAATCAGCATCAGTTTTCTTGGCATGAGAGCATCCCATGTAAAGCTTTGCCTAGGGCCCCTGAAAAGCAGCAGTTGTTTAAAATAAAAATGAAACACAAGCCATGCAGTACCTGGTCATCCAGGTTGCACTGCTCTGCACAGATCTCCAGGATGACGCTGCCCGCCAGGTTGGAGATTTCCTCCAGAAATCCTGCACACAAACTCAGGCTCTTCCTCTCTATGACGACCACCTGGATGCCACAACAAAGGTGTTTTTCGCCGTGGGTGTTCCCCATATCCATGGGCATGTAATCATGCCATCATCAATAATACAGAACCACCACTGCTGTGTATTAAGATTGAATTCATATTTTTATTCCCCTAAAAATGAATGTGGGTAATTTAATATTATGGCTAATATAATATTATGGTAGTTGCTCAATACTGACCTCTTCTGGACACATCTGGTGAGTACACTGGCTGAAGTGGGAGCAGACTACAGGAAACGCGATGAGGTAACGCTGCATCGTCACATCTTCACAACCCTGAGCGAACATCTTCTCATAAACCCTTGAGTAGAAACTGTTAAAGGAAAAAAAATGAATGTGTCTCTCAGTAAACGACTTTGTGCCTCAGTAAAGTTTCAAGTTTACATAGATTTTAATCTCATCAACGACCACAATTGTTTGCTTGCCCAATGCAGGAATTAGGTTTGGGTATGAACAGTCCAATGCTGTGTAAGTACCATATGTGGATTGAAGATTGACATCTTTAGTGAACTGAAAAGGTTGAAATTCTGAACCATGAGGACATGCTTAGCTAAAGATGATTGCCGTTGCACCCTAGAGTGTATACTTAACCATAACTGCTCTAGTGAAATATCCATCTGTATAAATGCAGAGTACAGTAGAGGTTCTCTTGTCCCGGGTGTGACCTACACATCCCTAATACCACTCAACTTCTTTGCAGACTGAAACGAGGACTGACCAGAGCGTGGAGAGGTCTGAGGTCTCCCTGAGGAGAGCCTCAACGCCGTCCATCATCTTTGTGTGGAACTCAATCATATTCATGATCTTGGCCAAGTCTGGGAAGTCTTTGAGCTGCAATGGCGCCTTGGCCACACTGGTATATGCCTGCGACACAGAGCGATGGGAGAACAATGTGGGTGCTAAGGAGCTAAATAAAAATGAGTCTGAGTGATTTTAACAAGCTTTGTATGGTATATGAGGGCAGTATCTGCAGGAGAACCGTACCTGGAGCCTTAACCAATCCAGCCTGAGGGCTCTCAAGTCAAACTCTTCACCATTTTCCACTGCGAAGGCATGCAAAGAATCTGTTAGGCTTCCTGGATTATAGTTATCATATAAACAAATGAAAAACAGCAGTATAGAGACAGTCCATGACCCAAAAGTTGAGGATACAAATCCAAGGAAATTTGCTGCTCTTGGACCATTGAGCAACGCAGTTAGTGTTGATTTGCAAGCAAAATAACAAGATAGACAAGTAGAATCACACGCACCATCAGAACTGCTGAATAGTAGTAGTGAGAATCTGCTTACCTTGTTTGATTGATAGTGTGGACAGAGACGAGACAAATGACGTCATCAGGATGGACTCCTCTTCCGGACAGACGTTCATATTCTAGAGATGGGAAGACAAATATGCTCATTAGAAGGTCATGCATGGAGACACGGCCAGTGTCACCCTCTGCCATGCATGGAGATAGGAGAAGCTAGGCTTTAACGCGAGGACATGGTGGATTAGGTTGTGCTGTCAGAAACTAATATAACTCACTTCTCATTAGCTTTATTGGTTCCATCTATCTTCCAACCATTGAATGGGGGCTCAAAACCTATTCCAGGCAGCACAGAGCACAAGGCAGGGGACATACTGAATGGCATCCCAACTCATCACAGGGTATTAACACTCACGCTCTACAGCAAGCTAAAAATACCTGACTGCATAAAAATGTCTTTGGACCGTGGGAGGAAACACAGGGGAGAATATGCAAACTCCACACACAAAGAGCAGCAGAGGGATTTGAGCCCCACAGTCCTGGGAGTATGAGATAGCAATGTTGCCAGTTGGATCAAACAGTAATCCAACTAACTAGGGGATTCCAAGTCTCATATCTCTCATCACCAGAGGTGTATAAAGGGGGGAAAGTTGGGGCGACTCCAAGGGCCCCTGAGTAACAGGAACGTAATTGGGTTTTTCTGGGTTGAGGGCCCAATATGACATGCTTTCATAGGGCCCAAATTCTCTAGCAGCCCATTACTGCTCATCACTCTCAGCACATTTTGAGTCAAAAGAGGTCCAAACCAAACTTAGTAGTCATACGCGTAACTTCTGGCCATGAAACACGTCTGCAGACGGTTCACCGTGTTTAGAGAACAGCTGCTGGTGAACGGCGCCCCCGTGTGATACCTGTATCGTGTCATTCAGTACCAGCGCATCGAACTGTGCCAGGTACAGGAGGTGGTAACGCTGCAGAACGGAGTTGTACTGAATCAGGAGAGTCTTCAGTCTTTCCATGTAGAACAGCAGTTCTGCTAACTGACTGCAACACAAGATGGCCGAAATCACATGCTTTACACGGTGTTCAGCTCAGAATCACAACAGCAAAGCCCAGACTTTGCCAGCTGCCTTCCAGGCTGAGGAGAATAATTCATATTTATCACAAAACCAATTTGCTGCTTCTTTGTCCAGAAGGATCATAAACTTCAAGCGCTCATGTCCATCAGAAGAGCGCGCAGTTGGAATCAGCTAGACTGAAGGACAGAACCTTGGACGGGTCTTGCCCTGACTTACGGGTCCACGTAGTCCTCTGGAGTTTTGGTCTTGGGGACATTCTCCGAGTGCCGCATAAGCCAGAGCACTTCGTCACGCGAGAACGCCAGTGCCATGAAGACATACAGGGCCTTTGTATTGAAAAAAAATGTGTGATTTATTGATGACGACGCCAGAAGGGGCTATTAAAACTGCAGCACAGTGGAATTACCCACTGCATTCTTTTAATTGCCTCCCCTCTCTTTCCGTATGGTGGCTGGGTTGCCAGGCAGCGATGGACATGGGAACTCACCTTGGGGCCCAGCAGACCAGGCTCATCCTCCAGGACTTTGGTCAGCTCCTTTATTGCATTTCGCAAGAAGTGCCTCTTTTCTTTGTGAAAAGCTCCACTGGCATGCAAATACACCAACAGCACATCATCAGTCAGCTTTCATTTGATTTATCAGACACTTTTAAGCAAAGTGATGCACATTTGCAAAAGCGGGATGAGACAGACCATAGAGCAATTGGGTAAAGATCCCAATGGAGAGATCATTTTGCTGATGTGGGATTCAAACTGACAACCTTCTGATCACAAAAAACGGCATACTGACACACAAAGCGACACACCACTTCTCTATTTTCTGCTAGGCAAGCAGAAAGGCTCACTAAATTATTTCTACGTGCATATTGACTGTTTAATGTACTCACCAGTTGGCTATAGCATACTCCCGGCATTCTTTGATGTCAGCAATACGTTTGTTGTATCTGTTACCAAGAGATGAGGGTCAGCTCAGTAAATCGTCATGCCGACATAAGAAGAGCAATTACATTTTAACCTGCCAGACAGCATCTCGCATTCATCCCGTCTTCCTATGAGCCAAGATAAATATGAGACGTTTCTACCGTTGTCCCGTAATTACTATCACAGTCTGCTTTCATGCTTTTACTCTTAAAACAGATGAACAATAAAAATGGCTCCCAATGTAGAAGATGATAATACCCTACTGGAAGCAGAACTGTGCAAAATCTAGGGCAGTCATGGAAAATGAGATTTAAATGATCCTCATATTGATGTAAAACTATGATGTCTGTTTAATCATTTCAATGCCTCCCCTAAAGTCACCCCAGTATTTGCAGGAACCATCCAATACACCCAAGTATCTGTTGACTCGGCCACTAGCTTAGCATATTTGGCTAATCGATACCTCATCATGTTTTTACTAATTAAGTTAATTGATTAAGTGAGCTCCTGGTGAAATTTAATAATACATGGAATGGCTGGGTGCCCCTGAGGAGTTTAGAGGAGAGATTTGGGCAAGACGAGCAAAAATTTAATTAACCTAGTTGTCGTTTGCCCTCTCAATTCTGATTCTGACAGGCTGATCAGATGGGGGGCCCCCTGGTGGCCACTGGGCTCACTGCTCAGATTGTTATTCCAGCCAGTGTTTCCCAATCCACATTTTCTGGACTGTTTGACAGGGAGCTAGGAGGGAGCCAAAATGTGGACCTTCTGTGGGTCCCTGAGGACCGGGTTGGGAAACACTGGTTCTATCCATCCAAAATACCAGTAAGACCGAAGAAAGGTAGAAATCCTTGTTATTTTAATTTTACTATTTTTACTTTTTCATTTGCATGTAATCTAATGATAAACTGTGTTTTTTTCTGAGCAAACATACACTTACAGTACCACCCAGATAAATAACTTCAAAATAACATTATCTTTGGTAGCCTAGGAGGTTTTCACAGTGCTGTATATAAAGCATTAAAGGACCATGGGCAAATTAAAGAAGAAGAAGCCTCTGTTATTTCTAGCCATTGTGCCCATTGTTGATAAACTGAACGTGTTTGATTGTGCAGAATTCTGCAGCGCACCCTTTGATGCCGTCGAAAATGTCCTCCGTGACCTTGTGGATGTTGAGCATCTCGTCCCTGATGAGCGTGATGTACAGGCCGCTCCGCAGCGCCATCTTCCACAGTTCCTGGGAGTTGGGGTTGGTGCTCAAGCTGCTGTGACAGAGCAGGAATCCCACTAGAGATCGGAAAGGCTAGGTGAGAGGCATATCGAGGGTTCGCGGTGCCCCCGCAGCCCCGCCTGCTGTCTGTGCACTGCTATCGCCAAGGTTACGGACGTACGAACTGTTCCACGGACACCTTTGTGTCCTTGGGGCGCGACGCTAACCTGAGCACCTGACGTTTCCAGTTACGTAAGGGAAACAGAGCGGGGGGAGTGACAAATGGGGTGGAGAGGAGCACTGACACGTAGCCTGACGCTCGCAGGGCCGCTCCAAAATACTCACTAATGATCCAGCGCTCCATCGTCTCCATGGACAAGTATTCACAAGGTATCTAACCGGGGGAAAGAGACTTAAATGATGCAAAATATCACACGCAGCATGCGGGAGGTTTTCAAATGAAACCAGCAAGTGAATGTGTAACATTTATACAGCTGAAAATTTATGTGGCTGTTTTGAGTAAAGATATGTAATCGTGGATTAGTAAAATGTGGTATGTGATACGTTTTTTGCTGCTATATCCATGCAATATCTATGCTGTGTTATTTCCAATTTTTACATTCTTATACTTTTATAACTTTAATCTTTTATTCTTTAATGTTGCATTTTAATAGTATTTATTTATTAATTTATTTATTTGTTAATTATTATTATATTTTCGGGGGAATGTATGTACTGTATGAGAATGGCTTCATATCTCCAAGGGGGTTTGGATCTTGCCCCCAGTTTTGTCTGTTTGGGGCTATCTGAGGGTTTCCTCCAGTGGCCTGTACTACGAAGCGGGGTTACTGGTTTATCGGGGTGACTTGTCGGATTTAAGGTACCACAGTTTAAATGGACTTCATATTCGTTCACTTACATTTTGCCCAGACTACCTTAAATCCGACAACTTACCCTGATAAATCAATAACTCCGCTGCGTAGTACAGGCCACCGGTCTTCCGGTTTACAGCTACAGTAGGTGCTTTGGTGTCTCTAAATTGCTCTGAGTGTGTGCGTGTGTACTGTGTTTACTCTACAATGGCCTAGCGTCCCATCCAGGGTGTTCCCCGCCATATGCCCTGTGTGGGGCTGGACTGAGATTAAAAATCGGCCCAATACTTCGGGGTTCACCACGGCCTGTGGCTGAGCAATAGATTTTGCTGGCGGGGGGAGGGGAGGAGCATCTCCCATGATATATTTTGCCAGTCCGGCGGGAAAACGCCCAGTATGGCAGATGGCCAGTCCATCCCACAGTAACTAAGGATGGATTCGGAATGGATGCATTGCAGTGTTTCTGCTAGCAAATGTCGCCGTCGTCAGCCCAAAAAAGCGCAGCTGCAGTGGGGCGCAGTACGCACTGTGTCACAGCTCACTGGGGTGAGCATGTTGGCCGTCACACTCAGGAGGCTGAGCAGCTGAGCCATGCGCCACTGCTCAGCCGCTAGGTTCCTGCGGGGATACACCAACTGCAGCGAGAGCACAGCCTCCGTCACCGCCTGTGCCGGCAGAAACGGGAGAGGCTGCTGTCACCGCCGGTCACTGGCTGTCTGCGGGCCATCAGAGCCCTTCACACTGGAATTGCGGGTTTCAGAAGATGCGGGAGTCGCCCCCATTTCCCTCACCTTGGTGTGCGGCCCAAACTCTTCCATCAGCTTCTTCCAGGGATGGTCGTACTCCAGGATCATCTGGCCCAGCCTCGGATACGAGGGGTCACTGCAGGAACATTACAGCTTTGCTTGTCACAGCAGGGCCAGACAAAGCCCCCCCCTCCCCCCCACAACCTGTTTGCTAGCCTGTTTCCAGCACTGCACCTTCCCTAATGTCACTCTTCAAATCGCTGTGTAGGCATATCTAAAACAGTCGTGCCACTCCGTAAAGCTGCAGAAAAATATCCGTTCTTCTGAGCTTACAGCAGCTAAACATCACTGAATTCCACCTCTGGAACAGGACAGAGTTGGAGAGACTCTTCCAATTATTCTTGCCTGTGTGTTTGCTGGTCACACGTGTCTGCAGAGAGAGACAACACTACACGGCTGTAAAATGTTACTTTCAGTGTCTCCATGCCTTTCTGGAAGGCGCTGCTTTTAGACTGAAGCCAATCAACAGGCTCCTCTTCAGTTATGTGCAATTCCCACTGGGAAACGTTGGAATTTTTATGGCTGTTGTTTTTGTAATAGAGTACACACTGTTCTCACTATAAACTGATCCCTGCAGGTTATTCCTGAAAACCGCTGTTGTTAACATTACTTCTAAATTGCATCTGTTAATACAGACTTGCAGTGCCAGAGCATAGCTAGAAATTCAAGGTCCCCTGACACAATGTCACCTTGGGTCCCCTGCCTAATTTTACATATAATTTTACATATCCAAGGGCCAACGGAAAGCACTGAGCCCTCTGAACCTGCAGGGTTATCCATGCCCCTATTGTGCTCCCCTGCAGTGGGCATGTACCGAGACCTGAGAATCTATACCCAGCGACAGCATGGCATGGGTTTAGATGCACTTTGCGTCATCGTGCCAAGTTACCACCAGTGGCCTCAATTAATTACAATTACAATGAATTTACTTATCAGATGCAACTGGAAGCAAAGTTGGACAGTCTCTGGAGAAACTGTGGGTTAAGAGCCTGCCTCATTTTCTTTAACTGCACAATATTTCTATTTACCCACAAACATATATACATACATACATACGTAAATACATATGTGTATATATATGAGGGCAGTATTTGTACATGTAAATAGTAAATTTTCACTGCTGGATTTGTGTGAATCCCGTCTTACTAAAAATAATATAGTATTATGCTATTACTTAAGCATTAATAACCACAATCTAAGTCTTAGTTACATACTGACCTCATGTTAATTCATCATTAATGAATCGTGACATTTTATCTCAAGCAGTTACTATATCTAATTCTGTAAAGCTTTGTGAACTACTGAAGGAACTACTAAGGAACTACTGAAGGAACAAGTCATGAATAACTAGTGAAATACTGATTTAATGTTTGTTCATCATTAATGAATCGTGACAAATCACAAATGTTTGTTCATGATTTGTTCATGATTTGTACTTCAGTAGCAACTGAGTTATTACTAGTATTTGTGCCCCATCAAGTGTGTTGTCTTATTATTAGTATTTGTGCCCCGTCAAGTGAAGTGTTACCGTTGACTTCTGCTCTGCTGTTTCTCCACCCAGGCACAAAGCATTTGGAGTAACAAAAAGATGAGATGTTCCTCAATGTAAGAGCCACGGTTTCTAGTTTACCTGGTGCCATTCGACATCTCGTGTGCACAGTTATACATGCCGATGAGCACCTTCTTCTCATCGATGCGAGAGAGCATGAGAATGACAGAGGTGTACGTCACAATCAGGTCCAGATAGTTCTTGGTGAAGCCAAAATTCACTGTCTGTTGAATGAAACAAAGAGAAGTGAAAATATCTGTCTTAAAGACCTCCTTCCTGATTAATGACTAAAAAAATCTGGGGTTTCTGACTAGCTAAGTGTATTTTTCAGTTACTACTGCAGTATTTCAGTAGCTAATGGTTGTAGTGTTTGCATTGTTTTCTATTCAGCAACAAGCTGTGTGTAATTATATTATATTAATTATATTAATTATATTAATTACTCACAATGTTGAAAAAGCACTGACAAGCATCTATGGTGTTCAGGAGTTCATATACATGATCCTGAAAGAAAGCAGATGGTCATTATCATCAAGAAATAACACAGAATCAGAGGAAGACTTCCTCTTCAATGCAAGTTAAATGTAATGAGCTACAAAGCAGCCAATCGCTTCTTATCAAGGCAGCTTTCTTACCCGGAACTCCATCACGTCAATGAAGGACTGGTAGTAACCAGTCAGGCTCATGAGGATTTCTGTTTTTTGCTTTTGGATGATGGACAGATTTTGCTGAAAAAGATCATTATAATTTAGTGATCAGTGGCCATTGTTGACACACCACAGCACACAGTGCACAACAACAAAACGTGTCCTCTGCATTTAACCCATATGTGAAATAGCAGGGGGCAGCTAATTCAGCGCCCAGGGAGCAGTACCTAGCTAGTCAGCGATTTTAACCAGCAGTCTTACAATTACACTTCCCTAACCATTAAGCCACCACTGCCTCAATTTACGTCTTATACTGCATTGACAATGGGACTTCTTGGGATTCAAACACAGGACCTCTTGTACCAGAAGCAGGATCATACCCCAGCACCAATGAGGGGCTCATAGAACGCTACTGATAAGTCATTGAGTGAAGAGGTGCTTCTGTATAGAAAAACAACAGTAGAGGTTGCCAGAATGCTCTCCTAAAGCAGTTCATACAGTAGTCTAGCATGAACAAGAGAGGCAGAAACCATGTGAAAGAAAGTCTGGAGTACTCACAACGTTCCCCCTAGGGTCAAGGTTGGGGAATTTCTTGTTAATGTATTTGACGGCCGACTCCATGGGCTTTTCTGACAGGAAGCTAGGTCTGAGCTGGGGGTCTGTGCAAATCTGTAAGAGCAGAGAACGCAAGCGTGAGGATCCACAGCCTGTGGCGTGGTGTCTTGGCTATTTGCCAGGAGCGCCCTGTTCCTGTATTGCAAGCCCCCGCTAATTCGGCATCACCAAGCATTTTCGGAGTCGCATGCGGTGCACCTCACCTCTCACACCTCAAATTACTGCAGCCTAAATATTAATCTCCATCTGAGAATGGAGGCATCATCTTCAAAGGGCTGCCTTGGCAGTCTGGGGAATCATCTGATGATATTAGAGCCTGACTTTGATCAAACAACACATAATGAGAACTGCTACCCCCTGGAGAGCATGAAAAGCAGCTCGATATCAACATGATTTAAGGCCTCTGTTCTCCAAGCAATGCCATATTTTATTTATATCTCATGCTCAGCTTTGATATAAATTTGACCTCTAATGATGGTTGCAGAGAGAGAGCATCATGTACGGGAACGGCACCAAGCTTCACCATAGCTTCTCTCAGCAGCTTCACTTCCTGTGCAAACTTCCGCTTTGGAGCCACAGGCCGAGCTGAAGAGCGGAGCGAGCTGCAGACCTTCTGTCTATTTATGAGAACAGCCTCAGCTACAGATAAATGCCTGTCCACCCAACTCTGTCTCCTTCGTCTCATTTCATTGTGCCTCGAGCATAAAGACAATAAAGTTGACTTTGACTACATGTGTTGAGACTACACTATCAACTCTTTCCTTTTTAAGGAAACAATGTGGCAATACCTACTCTCCTTTCACACCTGTTGCTTACTCTTCTATCAATTGGAAAAACCACTCTAAACACTTTGATATAGTTTGTAGCATGTTACAAATATCCGAAATGTGAGTAGAGTTTGCTACTTCCTCTTCCAAGAAGAATGTAGCACCATTGGGCTCGAAGGTTGATCTCACCGTCTTGATGTGTTTCATCCGGATGAGGACCCCCCTGCCCCGCTCATTGAGGATGGTCAGCTTCTCCGCCAGCTTGTGCTGGTAGGCCATGATGCCTGTTTATCTCCACTCCTCGCTTCGTTTTCCACTTATGGCCGCACTCCTGCTCCCCGATCAGGCCTGGACAAACACAGCCTGGTCCCACCCAATTTTTTTTTTTCGTGAGGGGCGGTCCTAGCCACAGGGGCGGAGTCTATGTGAAATCATGGTGCGGCTGGGTCTTTTAGAGGAAGAGGAGCGGCAGCCAGGTCTGGTGACTCTTGTGTCTGGTTTGCCACGGGTTACGTGTTGCTGGAGCTGTGTCGTGTGTTGAGTCTGCTTCACCCTCATAGTGGCAATGTGAAACAGCACGGGGAGATCAGGAAACCACAGCATAACGACTTGAGGTATCGCCTGTGACATCACTTCCTGTGTGGCTTTTCCTGTGCATCTTCCTCTTTTTAGTATTCTACTATTGCACAAACTTTTTCATCTGTGAAGGAGGAAAATCATGAAATTGTTTGTTCAATAAAGCTAATTGTGCCTTAACTCAACTGTAAGAATCCTTCTAGGCATTGAACTGTAACTTCATATTCCCTCATACCACAGTCACGCACCGCACTGTATACGAACTCAAGCTATTCTGTCTCGCTACAGTCGTTAAACGAGGATTCTGTAAGCTATAAATTCTGATTCTGAAAAATATTTAGTATTCATGACCAAAAAATGCTCTTTGTCATTTGGGCAATACTGAAGCTTTCACTATTGTCATTCCACTGGTAGGAGTGTGAAAACACACACATATTACAGTACCTCGCCTTTCCACTAGGTGTCAGGGTCAGCATGCTTCCTCTCTCTGTGAGACAACTCTTCAATTGCTTCAGCGTTTGTGGCGAGTTTCCACGCTCACATGTGACCCTAGTCCACTCAATCCCCAGCATATTAAATCACAGAAAATCTAGACCATATCTCTCTAATATTCTAATATTCTAATAAACAGAGATTACAGTGCTGTATAGTGAAATTATGTTTCACAATTTTATAAATGTAACAATGTAACTGGGTCCTTTACAGGAATGAAGAACTTATTTAGGTGAAAACCAGGGAAATGAGCCTTAAACTGACCAGTTACTAAGTTTCCATCTAGGGTGTTTCTGGGACCTTGGACACATCTTCAGTGCAGGGTTAATAAAACAGTGAGACCTACAGGAAATGCTCTGGGAGAACAGACAGGCACAGGCCGACCCGAGCTTATGCAGAATACCCAGAATCCTCCCTCTCATGAAATTATGCTTTTCGGCCATCTGCAAGTGCATTGGAATGCTTCTTTTCACATAACCCATCTTGCTCTCCTTTGAAACACAGGCACACACACAATTGAGAGGGAAGCTTGGGGTCTGAACGCAGGATCAGCTGATTTATGAAGCATCCATGGAGTATTTTGGGAGGCTTAGGGTTCCACTGAGGAGCCCAGCAGAGACGTGGCTATTGTACTGACATCAGGCCTTGAACCGGCAACCTTCTGGCTACAAACATAGAGGTCTAACCCACTGAGACAGACACTGCATGGGGTCATGGTGCAGTTTTGCAAACGTAGCTCTGAAGAGGCCATTTTTATAAGCATATGTCAAGAGAGGATACTGCATTTTCCCGGTCTGGCTGTGTCAGTAATGCGGCACTCACTGCATGTTGCTGAAAACAGAGCCGTGATGCAGTGATTTCTCTCTCAGAAACTGCTCGACAGCAGCTCCACCAGCTACACAGGAGTCGGCTTGCAGTGTCAGCTTGAAGCTACCGTCACGTGACCCCTTCTTTTAAAATTCCCATCAGTCAGTGTGTGCCGGGCCGACAGAGCTGCCCCTGCTCCACCCCACACGCACTAGTCAGCTGCGCCGGAACTTCTCCGTTACTCTGGCATGACACATTAAGCATGGAACACTGGGAATGGACTGAAGCCTGCTCCCAGTTTTCCTGCGGTTATGCTCCCCAGTTACATTGCAGTGCTTCATTCCCAGTGGGCTCGTGCTGATGCAAGCCACACCCTGGCATCAAACAGTAGGGAAAAAAAGAGCTTCCATCAGAACCAATATTCAAACCACAGAGATTCTAAGCAGTCTCACATGCAAAATTATTCCCAGGAGAAACACAGAGTATGCAGTTTTTAAATAAATAAAATATCTTTTCTGTCTGAATTATTTCTCGTAAAACATTTGGGACATAAGCTGCAAAAAATTGTCTCGACATTTAGCTATCAGTAAGTCGTATGTGAAAGAAATGGGATTTTAGACCTAGACAGTGGCAGTCAGGAGAATATGCAGCTGAGATTTTACAGTAATCTCACTTCAAGTCGTGGAATTCAGAAGGTTCTCCTTGAGAACATGTATTATTCAGGTCAGGCCCAGACTTCCACAATACCCTCACTGGTGATTTCTTGTGAGAAAAATTGAGAGTAGGCAGTAAGCTATAAGCATCGCCTTCATATAGTGGTGACTTGCCTTTTATGTAGGAGAGAAATCTCACTAGTTTCTTTCCTCTGGGACTAAACCAGCTTTTATAAGAAGATCTATCACTGCATGAGACTTGAAAAGTCATGTGTGTCACAGAGTAACTGGATACTGCAACTCTTGAATGTCGGCGAGGATGTGGCTGTACTTTACTATTATAAGCCGACTGTGATTAAAGACTGTAATTGCTAAGATCGAGTCTTTAATCCATCCAGGGGTGTATGAAGCCTTAAACAGCTTCCTATGTTATTTCTGACTCACTTTTTAACGAGCAGATGAAAGCGGGACGCCGCCCGTCTTCACATAAGCTGGCTTTGACATGTACGTGTCTCCTTGTTAGGGAGACGTGTTCAGATGAGTCTTTCATGAGTCCAACAGGAGCATCGAGGGCTTAGGTGGAATAATTGACCAGGGTATGTTGCTTTTTTTTTAGAATCTGGGCTTGCCCTAGTCAGGCAGAAAGCATGGAATACAAAGAGGTTAAGGGATGGTTGCTTTCGGAGGTGGATTCATGCGCCCGGAGCCAGCCGTTGCCCGAGGGGCCGAGGTGGTGCCAGCCTCCTAAACCCCCAGCCCTGGTGCGCCATCACAGGGCTGAATCTGGCGGGGGGGACCACCTCAAAGAGAGAGTAATCCATTTACCCTGTAAAGGTCCCCCGGCCAAGTGTAGAAGCAGGGCTCCTAAACTAGCAAATACTGTATTATTTTCAGTAATAAGCGCTGCATGTGCAAACTTTGGCTGCTTGGATTTATCGTAAATTCGATAACATAAACTGAATAATGATTTTAGTTATATTAATTAGACACAAGTTGCTCTGATCATGGCTGCCCATATCTTGACTGACATTTCTACTGAAAGGTTGCTTCCCTATATCTTGTTCACTGCCTAGTTGCCCCTTGGGAGGTTTCTGTGTGCTGTCCCAAGCTGGCTCGGTTTAAAGTTGGTTTTTCATGCTGTGTAGCAGACAGGCCTGAGCATGTATTGTTAGCGCACAGGGGCAGCAGAATGCAGAGCAGCAGTGTTGTACCCTCAAAGGTCTCTCTGCCCCAGTCTCTGCCTTTGAAGGACCAAAATAGACAGTGTCTGCCAGCCACCGACGTAACTGAGAAAGAAGAATAAAATGATGCAGAGACTGAATGTTCCAGTTTGCACAAATCAGTCGATGTCAAGGGACTCTGACATAAACTCTATTCAAAGCCCCACAATCCACTGACACTGTCATTTTGAAGAGGCTTGTGCCCAATGAGCTTTATTGATGCCAGGGGAAATTCCTGTGCATGCAAGGTATGGAAAATGCAGGCAAACAGACATATAGTGCAAAACATGACAAAGTGTAAAGACAGCACACATAATGCAGATGAGTGAACATAATGCAAATCAATTTAAAAAGTACAAAATACACAAACATAATACCTTGAAAAAGATTAAGGAAATAAACAAAAATTGATAATAAATTAACAGATGTGTCATGTATGGTGGGATTATGAGAGCGGAAGTTAGGGGTTTTATTAAACTCAGGAGGAGAAGACTGAAAACGACCAGGGAAACTAAACAGGGGTAATAAAGGAAGGGAGGCACTTATATACATGAGTAACGAGGGAGCAAACAAGAGGCAGCTGGGAATAGTTAACATGAAGGCAGGAACAAGAGGTGAGACAAATGTGCACCAAATGTGCACCAATCAGGCGTGGCTCATTATAGCCATGCAAGGGAGGAAAACAGGAAGGTCAGGCAGACATGTTGGACAGGACAAGACAGGATGTGCAATTAAAAATAGACCAAACTTTTTCTACTTGTTGGGTTAGCAATTAAATGTGAGTGGTCATAAACACAAAGTAATTACAGTGTAAGGGTCATTATTACATATAATAAACCCAAAGACAGTCCGCTTTTTTTTATTTTTTTTTTCTTGCTCCCAGGAGTAAAAATGTGGACTTTCTGTGGGTCCCCGAGGACCGAATTGGGAAACACTGTCTTGGGCAGTAGATAGATCATCAACATGATCCTCACAGTGCTGTCAACCTTGTCAAAATGGGAATAGACTCTGTCCAGCAGATAGATGATTGCTTCAGTTACTGCAATGCTGGAGATTCTGGTAGGCAAACTACAGGGTCTCAGAGCTGATGGGACCAGGAGTCTGAGGCAGGGGCCCCCTGACAAAATATCACCTTTGGCCCCCATCCAGGTTTCCAGTAGCAGAGGGTGGGCCCCCACATGAGACTGTTCCTCATGCATATTCAGTGGTCCAAAAATAATTTTATATTATATTAAATATATAATATATATATATATAATTTATATTATATTTAGGAGCCCCTATAAAGATCACTTTTTTGTTGGTTAAGTACAACGTTAAAATGTTTTACAAAATGCTGAGTATTAATAATAGAAAAGTGAAGTTTTCCACTTGTATGCAATGCTAATAATACCATAATATAACAATATTAGCATGTTCATAGAATATTCTAATAAGTAAAATGTTTTCTAAGAAAAGTATTATTCGTATATTATTTAATAGAACAAAAGTCCAGTGATTTGGGTCATTAATTTAGCAAATCCATTTCTTGCCAGCACATTCATTGTTGTATGAAGCCTTGGCATCTTCAAAGGATGTCTTTTTAAATATATTAACGGAGTACTTAATCGGGGCCGGGGGAACAATGAAAGGAATGAAAATTGCTCGCAGGCTGGCAGCATGAGAAACAGATTCCATTGCTGCCAAGTTCACAGCTGGACAGGAGGAT